TTCATGGCACATCCAACCAGGAGGAGACCTAAAAGGAGACTCAGGACACGCTGGGGGGGACTATGTCTCTCGGCTGGCCAGGGAACGCCTTGGTATTCCCACAGAGGAGCTGGTCCAAGTGGCTGGGGAGAGGAAAGTCTGGCTTCTCTGCTTAGGCAGCTGCCCCCGTGACCCGACTCTGGGTAAGCGGAGGAAAAAGGATGGATAATAACTATCATGTGATTTTTTTTTAATACAGATATAGAGTCTATAGATAGAGCAGAGCATCTGCTGGAGTCAAATAAAATACAAGATGAAGACAAGACTGCTTTAAGATGAATTACCAAAAATACTGCTTGACATTAACCTCTAAAAATAGCTCCAGTGCTGAATAATCATTAGTCAGGGGAATGAATTAAAATAAGAAGCCCAGAACTGATACCAGGAAACCAGCAGATGTTCTGCAACTCTGGGGACATGAAGCGGTTCCCCAGTTAGCCCAGTCACATGTTTATACTGTTTAGACTGAAGCTAAAATCTAAGCTGTGTTTCATAAATATACTTTTTGGCAAAAAATCTTGAAGTTACACTTTTTAGTTTTAGTTTTTGAGTTCAGTTTACGTTGATGTCTCATGCATTTGCCACTGCGTGCCCTTGGCGGTGTTCTAATGAACAGTTATGATGAAACCGTATGAGCTAAAACACCTACAGCCAAAGAAACGCAAAAGGTGAAGAAATAGGTGTGACCTTTCCTCGTCTCCTTCCCATTTCCCACAAACTTGTATGTCCTGATTTCTACACATTTCAACTGAAACGGCACAAACGTGAGCAGGCTGTGTGGGTGGCGCCCTCTAGCGGCGGTGGTGAAGAACACAGCTCCGTCGTTCACAGCAGTCTGAACCAGCTGGTCTCAAAAACCTCGTTAGAGGCCTTTTCTGAGGGGTAACTGTCACAGAGAAAAAACATGTCAAATCATCTGTAAGTGCGTGAATCTAATGCATTCAAATGTTACTAAAGTTCAGGGGAAAAATTATATCTGATGTAATTTCACATGTTTTGTTGAGTTAAGTTAGTAGGATTTTACAAGAGGGGGAAACACACCAACTACACCTTCTCTGTTCGTATTTTCCACTTCATTAACTAACTGAATCATGTCTGTTTTCTCTCTAATAGATGAGGTAAGTCTTGTAGCTTGTAGCTGGTATTTTCACATCAATAAGGGTTTGTTTTGCAATGTGGATGTTTAACCAGTTTACATAACACAGAGGCATGGAAGCCAATCCAGTGGTCTGGGGTGTGCAACTCAAGCATGCAGAAAGAAGTGGATCTGCTTAGAGAATTCTCCTAGATCAGCTGATTTACCATTTAATAGTTAGGGAGGCTCTTCAAATAAAGTGTAAAATTCAATTCAATTCAACTTTATTATCAAACTCAAGGTCCACATTAAAAAAAGAGACATAAAAACGATACAAAAGATTATAAAAGACATGCATACCAGTGTCTCCACATGGATGACTGGTAACGCACTTCAATCAAATGGGGATCAACCAGCATCTGCACAAGTCTGTTCTTGGAGTTCTTCAATCACAAGATAAACCTGTACATCAAATTCCTCATTATGGCTTGGAAGGTCCTGACATGAGCATTACAAAATAAAAGACTTGCACTACAGGACCGAGGTTTCCCTAGCAGAGTCCTAAATGCATCGTTGTAGGCTGCTTTAAAGGGACTTTACGGACTTTTGAATTTTTATGCTCGTGATTGCCCCCCTCAGGCCAAAAGCGTAACGGCAGCTTCAATAGTAGGCTTGTGCACGAGGCGTGCATGCTGTACGTGCACACTCCTTAACGAAAATAACAGCTGAGACAGTGCCGTGTGTGCGTGTGGCCCGGAGGACAGAGGACAGGAGAACACGCAGCTAATTAATTAAATAATTAGGTTCTGTACCTTTCTCTTCAGCACAGCCGACAAAGGTTTATGATGGGCCAGTCCTCCTGCATGCTCAGATCATTCCCTTCCCTTGCTTGAAAAATTGTTCCAAAATGAAAGTTGAACCCACATCTTTTTTATCTGTGAATTCAATGCCGTTCGGCGAGTCTCAAATAAAAATTTGGGCATCTTACTGTAAAAAAATATACCATTAATGTAAAAAATAAACTCTAAATAAACTATGTTCACATCCAGAATCAAACCCAGGTCTTCTGCATGGGAGTCAGACATCTTACAATGTGAGCTACACTCTAGTAACATTCATAGTATCTGTAACATTTATATCCTTGATGACAGCTGAAACAACGTCAAACCAAAGAACGGTTCGAAGTGAAAATGGCTATTTTGTTGCTAATTTGCAGGAAATATCTAGAAGAAAGTTCTACAGAAAGTAGCTAAGGGTCCTCAGAAATGTAGCTAGCTTTGTCACTAGGCGTTAGGAACAGCGACAAAGTGGCACTTCCTCTCTTTCTGCTGCTAAAGCTACGGATAGCAAATGCTACGGGCGATGCCTGAGCGTGAACGCGCATGAAGCAGCCTGCTCGACCCGAGCATCTCTCTTTTTCTGTGATTTTACAGAAAAACAGGCAATCACAGTAAAAATGCCAGGGCTCATTCTACAGGACCAGGGCATTGCAGGAGAATGTATGAAGAAGACATTTATTATTTCTATACATGTTTTGGCTGTCAAACTTCCATAATGCCCCTTTGACTCATGCAAGCTGGCTTTCCTATACTTACACCACAAAGGTGCAGTATGGTGTGCAGTAGGTTCTAAAAAGGTGGATTTTTATCTAATCAGAACACGTGTGGAATTTCCTGACCAAAATATTGGCTTGGGCATACAAAGCGCGACATTGCCGGTAAATGTCATCGTCACAGAGCTGATTTGTGATGATGTGACCCAAATATTTTGCTTTGTCACTGACACTTATCTTCTTGTCAACCAAGTAGAAGTCTGGGAAACAAAGATTCTTATCCCCTTTGGTTCGATAAATAAGCACAACACTCTTTTTTGCATTAAACTGCACATCGTACTTCAGCCCATATTCAGAGCATGTGTTTAGCAGCTGCTGAAAACCAGCACTGCTGGGCGAAATGATGGCCAAGTCATCAGCATACATGAGATGATTAATCAGATTGTTACCAATCATACATCCAGTATTACATTTCTTGAGTTGATGTGACAAATCATCCATGTAGAGGTTGAACAGAGCGGGTGACAGTAGCCCTCCCTGAGGCACCCCATTGTTAAAAATGAGAGTCAAATCTGTTTCACATTTTCAGAATTTTGTCTTAGTTATTATAACAATGTTAAATATCCTAAATGTCTTTTTGATGGGACAAATTATGGGACATTTTTACATTTAAAGTAATTTAAAGACCAAGTTTCCTCCTTTTTTCAACACATTTGCAGCAATCTATTAGCCTAGAATCTAGACTGTCGGTTGCTAAAGCCAATGAGTCTGCTCTGCATGTTGACCTAGCCACGCTCCATTGGAGCCTCCGCAGCCCTGGACAGTCTGGTGCCGGTCCATCTGTTTGGTGGGCCAATCACAGAGCTCTATCTGTTTAGTGGGCGGGGTGTTATTGCGACTGAGCAAAACCAAGATGGGGATGGCTCGTTTGAAATGGCAACTTTGGAATGTTTCGACTTGGACTTTTCTTTGAGTAAAGAGCAAATGGAGCTACTTACGTTTATTTAGAAAAAAATGTATTTGCGTCCTCTTCAGTGGAGTATGGTGGACCGCCCCATCAACTGACATGCATTGCAGTGAGTACGCCATGTTGGTTGTTGTCCACTAGCATGCAGAGACAGTTTGAAAGGCAACCGTAGGTGCCGCCCCATGACTGAGAGCCATCAGTGAGTTGTGGCCAGACTATGTACTCACATTTGGCTTGCTAGGCTAGTGGTCTTTCGTATAAAGGAATGTGAGTCATTCTCTGTGGGAAAACAAGCTCTGGCGCTCCTTTTTCAGCAACAAGAAGACAGCCAGAGGAGGGGGTTAGCAGAAGATGGCAGGATTTGGAGTCTTATTTCCTGATATTTGGACATCTTGCATCTGATTGGCTACCAGCAATGCAACTCTACCACTCACTCTGTTTGCTCTGCAGCATTGATGCTTTATCTCCACAAATAAAACAAGCATGAAGGAGTTCTGCTGTGTGGTGGAGTTAATAATGCTAACGGTTAGCTTTCACTTGCCCAGACATGCTCTGCTCTCTCCTGGATGCTAAATTATCAAAAGCCTTCCTGGTCAGGGGCCAAGATGGGCGAGTCCACGAATGCTAATTTTCAGTGTGACAGAGATCTTTATGGCTTTTCCTGACCTGAGCATTATCCAGTATATTTTCTATTGGTGGCTGACGCAGGAAATCGGTTAGAAGACTATTTTCCCGTTCTGCCTGCACGGTAAACTCAGAGGGACTGACCATATTTCAAAACTAACAAGGATAAAATAACAGTTTCTCAGTTAAATTGGTCTTTAAATAACAATGTGGTATGCCAAAATGGACCTGACTGGATGGCATTTTAATGCGAATTCAGGCCAGTAACAATGGGACTGTGGGTAAGTTAAAAGTGAGTTTCTCGTAGAAAACGATGACAACAAGCTTTATTTATAAAATGGTGCAAATGAAATCTGTTTAGACATTCACAATCTTCATCTTGGTTTGGAAGTATGCACCTATGAAACCTGGAGCTCAATCAACTGTCGGATATATTATGTTTAGGGTTATAAATGTATTTGATTTATTTTATTAATATTTTTATTATTTTTTTTCAATAGGAAGATCCCACTGTAATATATATTTATTCTACAAGGAAGTTGAGGTCACTGTGGTGACATAAGAGGAAGAAAATAAGTGAAAATGTTTAAGTAAATTTAATAAGTTGAGTAATTATTAAAGCTATAACATTTTTTTTACTAGAAGGAACGGTATAATTACTATTCAAAGCAACTGAAGAGGTGCGGTTTGCTTAAATGCTACAACGGCTTGCCACATTTTCCACAGACCCGACTGTTCCCTTGCTTTAAACCTGAACCCAACACGAGTTCGTGTCCGGTTCCGTCTCGGTGCTGTTCTCTGACCGTGTTATCCCCCGTGGCTGCGCTCAATCCCGCTGTTTTTGCGCGTTTTCCCCAAATCTCTTGAAGACTTCACAATCAAAACAAATCGACCACGCGTGCTTTTCCCGCAGCAATGACGTCACGTAGGCCCTCCCCCAGCAAGTAAACAAAACAGGAGAAAGCTGTCATGTCAGCCGACGTAACAGCGCTCAAAGCTGGAAATATGAAGCGAGGCATTTAACAGACGTTTTTCTCGTGTTTTGGGACCGGTTCGGGAGATTTATCGGTCCGTCTGAGTCGCACTGGAGCGATTTAAGGGAGAGGCGGAAGTGAAGTCACTTGATAGACCGTCCATGTTATTATTGTTATTTTGGTTAGCCCTGGGATGAGACGGGCTGGGGAGTCGCTGCTCTCCGAGACAGCGAGCGTTCACGGTGCTACCGCAGGCCACTCCGGACCGAACCGACGCCACCCTCACCGCCGCCGCCTCCTCCAGTCCTCGTTGACTGACCCCGGAGACGGGAGCCTCGCTGGCGGCTGGGTGAGGGGAAGGAGGAGGGTGTGAAGACCCAGCTTCACTCAGCTCGGCTCCTGCACTCCAAAAATAAAACGGCGACAAAAGCAATAACGGCGTTCGGCTCCGCTTAGCAGAACCGTGCCGCCGCAGACATGAACGGTATCACCAAGAGCCGGTTCGAGGTAATGACACGCAGGGAGTGGACCACCAACGGTTCCACTGTTTGTCTCTACTGGGGAGTCTTGTATAAGTGTGAGTGTGTGTTTTGTTGGTCAAGGGTAATCCGAAATCCTGTTGTTGTCCTGCTGCTGCAACAGAACGACAACATGGAGCTGGGGACTGCGGGACAGAGAGGGCTGCGGCCGGGGCGGGGGGTGTCAATATCTCAGGGGCGAGGATGGCTTCAGGCTGCCACTGTCGCCCGAGTTTCCAGGCTTTCAGGTGGGGGTCTGGGGGCTCCACGTTGTCAGCATTCAGTAGGAAATCAGCTCTTCTGGGCAGATAACGCAGTAACCCGCCCGCCTGGGTGCGCAGGTGCCGCACAGATTGGTGAAACCTCCTCTTTTTTTAACCATAGAAGAAGAAATAGCAGTTCCCCCAAATCTCGCGATATTAAACTTTAGCACCACAATCATTAATGTAAACGCTGAATTAGTCTAGGGTAATACATTTATTTTGTTTTATGTTCACCAAATGTATTTATTACTCATCCTAAATGCACTATTAAGTAATTTTATTAGTAAATGTTAACAAAAGTATTAGTTTTAGCCCCCTAAAAAAGAATGCTACATTCACATTAGCTCAACAACCGCTAACCCTTTGCTATGTTTTTTTATTTTTATACAAAAGAAAAACGAAACAGGCCTTTGCCTGACTTGTTGACATCCTGTTGGGGGAAATTTTGTAATTTAAAGCAGGTGTGTTGAACCTGAAGGTTCTGCGTTGAGGACGATCCTACGATATTTCTAGTTTAGCTGATCGGACCACTTTCCAATCTTTCGTGATCTAGTATCGTGACATCATCCACCCCTGTTTTCAACTACGGTTGAATATTTTTATATTTAATCTACTTTTCTAGGGATACTGGTCAACTGTGACCACAGCTGTTGTGTAAATAGTGCAGCTAAACAGATCTGTCTCCTGATAATATCAGCTTTAAGCATTTTATTAGAGTTAGCACATTTTCCATCCGCTTTTATGTCCTAAAACCTTTTTTCCTCCCTCGTCAGACTTTGTAATTCGTAAAAAAGATGCTTGAGGTGACCTTTTAAATTACTCCCAACTGGCAGAGCAGAATTTCATGGAAGTTAATGAAGAAATGGAACATCGGGATGGACAATACCATTAAATTCTGCTATAGATCCCAATCACTTTTAATGAAAGACTAGATTGATTAGTATTGATCTTGGCTAAGGGTGAGCGGAGTCGTATTTACATATTCTCAGCACGCTCTGCTGGATGAGCAGCTATGATGCCCAACGTTGTCCAACTCTGGAAACTGAAGTGATGACCCTTTTACATCTTACATCTGAGTGCTGCATCAGCTCAGAAAACACAACCATGAAGAAACAAACTATCTGTGTGCATTCCCTCCACCACTAAGCCGTCCGTTTAACACCTGCAGTTTAATAAACGTGCTTTTCTGTCAACATTTCCTTCTATAATTGTGCTCCAGCCTTATATCGCCCCATCCAAATGTGCTGTTCACCTGACATGTTATTCACACATTGCTGAGATTCTTTATAGTTTGACTTGATGGTACTTGACTTTCCCAGCCGGGTGCTCACAGGCCTGGTGTGAGTGAATCAGAACAGAAGGTGTTTCGTGTGTTTCTCCACTCGGCTTTTTGCATACAAATCACCAAAGGATGGAAGATAAATCTGTGGTGGAACTAGGAGTGAGACTTCTGGGGGTGTTCTTAGCTCCAAACGGGCTTTAGTTTCTTTGTAGTTGATTATTTCTTTTGTTTAAAAAACCCAGACGGTAGGAAGTTAATGCACCAATCCACCCCCCACCCTCTCGGAACAGGAATATTACTGCAGGGTGTAACTTCCTGTTTGGGGAATCCTGCTCTTCTGCCATTTTGCAGAATGTGCACCCAAGTTAGTCTGAAGAAACGTTTAAAAAACATTTAAAAGTTTGCATTTTCCCTTAGTCATGATCTGAAACCAAACTAGAAGGCACTGCACACTGTAAAGTCATTTTCTTGTCTAAACAAAGAAAAAAAAAAGGTCAAGTTCCTTTTTCTCATTTTGATGAGAATCTTATGAGTGACAAATGGGTTAAGAGTCGGGTAAACTACTTCTGGTTTTAGAAACATATTAGCGAATGTGTTATCCATTAACAGCTCCACTTCTCTTTATTCAGTGTTTCAGTCTGGTTGAAGTTTTTCCATCCATTGGTTTTGGACTGTCTGTTTTCTTTGAGTTTTTTATTTAAATGCTGTAAATATTACGAAACTTCCTTTTAAAATAGCTCCAACGCCAGTCTGGACTTTTATTTTAGTTTTCCTTCATTATAAAACCATTGAGGACTTTTCACTGAGCTTTCCTAAAACCACTTCTCTGTTTTGTTGGTGGTTTGTGTTGTTGAAGGAAAAACATTTAGCAGAATCTGAGATCTCAAACCCTCGGAAATGTTGTTTTTATTCTTTCTGGTCTTGCAGTTCCTGCTGCTCTGTTCCCACATCATGATACTGCTGTCGCCGTGTTTGACCGTAGGGCGGATGCTAGTTTCTTACGCACCTGGGGAATCCATTTTAGTTTTTAATAACAGCAGGTTGCCTCAGCTGGTTGAAATAAACCTTTTACCAGGTTGTAGCTTCACTTTTGCCTGACATGTTGATGCTTACACAAAGAAAAAAACATTTCTATTATTTCCTTTTTTATCCAAAGTGAGTAACTTTGGGATCTCTGAAGCTTTTAGAAGACTTTCCTGTCCTTTTGGACGTTTCATACGTGTTCAGACTTCCTCTAGGAAGTCCTACAACCTTTTTCTTTTTTCATTTCTTTTGTTTTTTCACCTCATTCAGAAATCTCATTGTAGTTTTCCTAGATCTTTTCTCTCCTGTCAACCGATGACTTCCTGAATCTCACAGCCTCGGCTTTTATTTTGAAATACATTTTCAGACTGTGCTTCTACACAAATGTTATTATCTCATTAGCTGGTGTTTGAACATCCATCTATCCATTTTCTTCCGCTTATCCGGAGTCGGGTCGCGGGGGCAGCAGCCCCTCCCCAGCCACTTGGGCCACCTCTTCCTTTGGAATCAGGTGTATGATCGCCCTGCAGTCCCTCTTTTTAAATAGGGGGACCGCCAGTCCAGTGTTTAAGCATTTAAAGGGTTTGGTGTGGTGATTTTAGTCTCATTAGGAAAATTCCTCCTTGTGTTTTTGACTGCATTTATACAGTCTTTCTCCTGCAACCTTGCCTCTTTTCTTTTCACTTTATTAATTGCTTTAATAATCAAGACTCATTTCCCACCCTCTGTAGTGCCGTTTCTTGTTTGCCTCCTGCTGTCGTTTTGATCCTGCCTTCCATCTCCTTCTATTTTAAGGAGGTTGCATCTCTTTCAGAATCAACCTGTGCTCATCCTGGTCCTTTTGTATCCTTGCGTTTTCTGCTTGCATGAGACACATCGGGGTGTCCTCTCGTTGGAAATGCGTGCTGACTCTTTTAGGAAGCGAGTGTGTCGCTTGTCAGAGCAGCACAGAGGTGGTAGGTGTTTTGCTGTGATCTAAATTCATGGCTGAATGCAGCCCGCCTGATCGAGAATGTTCTGCCTCTGATCTTCACTCAGAGAGGTCTGACTTGAATCACCTAAGAGCACGCGTGTGTGTGTGTGTGTGTGTGTCACTCTTAGCAGATGGCCAGACGTCCAGAGACTAGGCTAATTGAGATAAGCATGCCAACAAGCTGACCAGGCAAACTGATTTCTGAGCTGGTATGGAGGCGATACGAGACGCCAGTTGCAGCTTTGGTGTGTTTATTGGCTTACAGGTGTGACAGCTCAGGTTTTAATGGAAAACGTGGGTCAAGCTTGAGCCAAAACTGAACTAAAACAACCCCCATCGGTCGATAATGTTTTGATTTCTCTTTTTATTTCACTTCAGCTCACCCAAAAACCTCATCGTTTCCCCCTTCTTTTTTTTTTTGTGTGTGTCTGCAGGTATTTTCAAACAGCGACGAAGCTCCCATAAACAAAAAGCTCCCCAAAGAGCTTCTCCTCAGGTAGGGCTGATACCACACACACTGTCGTCGTCTTTTTTTGGTCAGGTGTGTGACCTACAGACCAATATTTTAGAACACAGCAGCTGCACACGGTCTATAAATCTGATATTTTGCGCATGTTTCCAAGTGTGTGCATGTGGGACAGTGACCCACCTGCAGGTTCCTGACTGTGTTTCTGTTTGAATGATGCTAGTTTGTGTGTGTGTGTGTGTGTGTGTGTGTGTGTGTGTGTGTGTGTGTGTGTGTGTGTGTGTGTGTGTGTGTACGCTATAAATAGTTTCCCGTAGCTGGTAGGGAATTCTGCAGTGCTGCGCTCCACTCTTGCTCCATCTGTACTCCAGAGAGTCCACCAGTCCACCCATTACCACCACTGCACTTGTGCTGGTGGACCTGCGACACATGACCTACTGTCTCATGCGTCATCGTGAGATAGTTACACAACATCAGCTGCGAGGAAGGCTCGCTGTGACGGATTTTAATCTTGTTTATTAACCCTGGATTCTGGGTTAGCTGGGACTTGTTTTTGTTTAATAGTGGGAGACATCATCTCATTCATGTGGTCCACTAAAGTTTGTATTAAAATGACTATGAATCATTACAAAAGCGCTAAACAACCCCAAACTGGCCACGTTGGCTTAAAATACTCGTCTCTAGATCTGTTTGTTTTGTGAAATCTTGAGTAGAAAAAGTTTGAAAACTACAAGGAGTTTTGCTTGAAGTGTACTAAAGTCCCATAACTCTGATCAGCTGGTTTACTCTCAACAATATGGAGTTAGTTGTAAAAGTAATGAAGATTTAAATTTTGTATTGTTTTGATTCTCATCAGAAGCCATCTTAGGTCACAGAAAGCATGCAGATCAAGCTTTAAATCAAATTACGTGCGGTCAGTTCAGTCCAACAACGGATCCAGATTCAAATTTTATTGTGATCCATTACAATTGGAGTCAGATTATAAATAAATGCTATTTAGTAAAACAAATATTTATTGTGATTCCCTCCAAGCAACACAGACGCAAGTGATTTCTTTTACGGGTTTATTGGACGTCCTTTTATTGTGGACCTCTTCTGTCCTCCTTTCTTAGACCGTGAAACTAAGTACAGGATAGTACAATTAAAACATGTACAATAATGTGCAACAAAATAAAGACAAATAAATACCTCGTTGGCTGTTTTGCTTAAAACACAAAGGGAATCCATCTGTCCTTCTTTAAGTCCTTTTACTAGTTAGTTCTTTAGCAAAGGATTAAATGTTTTCAGTCCATTAGCTGTCTGCTTGCCAGCACTTCATCCAGGCTGTGTGTTCCTCACACCTGGCTTGTATCATCAAATTAAGGGTGTGGCTGGCAGAGCAGCTCATGTAGCTTTTCAAAATAAAATTACAGGAAACACAACCAACCCAGTGTCTTACAAATGGGAAAATAAATAAATGAAGAAATAAACAGCAACAGCAGTTACATTTATTAGGAGGCCAGCAGATGAAACTTGACTTCTTTTAAAGCAACCCTAAATAAGTTTCCCCGTTTTTCCCTCCTACTGGTTGAAAGCTGAATTACAACTGTCGTAAACAACCCTGTAGCAGCCTGCTGTTGCTAGAGCTAACAAAAAGCTAATGCCAACACGAGCCAACTAATACTAAAATAAACTATAAAGTAAATAGATCCGCACTCTTGGACAAAAACACTACTTACAAGTCCTGTAGCAACAAAGCCAGGTCACCTTCAGTCCGTGATTTTGTAGCCTCCATCAGCTCCCTCAAGCTAGCGTAGGTCGCGCCAATTCTGGCAGGAAGTCAAACCAAAACAGAAGATGCAGGCTGGTAAATTTAACAAAATAAAGACATTTTTCAAAATAAAATACAGTGATTTATAAATAATGTCATTTTTGTGTACCTAAACGGACTAGACAGATGAAAAATACTAAAATACTAACCGCTAGCATTACAGCTAACAGCCGTAAAGCATGTAAAGGCTGCACCCTAGGACACCTAACCACTCTACAAAACTGTCCCGTGTGGTTTTTGGTTAGCAGAGGCCAGCAGCGTGGTGTCAAATATGAAACTGGTCAAGTTTCTAACTCAACAATCACCAAGGTCAATGTTAAAGCTCTAGCTTAAAGTAAAATAACTATCTGTTGTTACTTTAAGTGGGGGTTTCTGGTCAGCAGAGTGCTTTCTCACGTAAAGTTGGTTAAATTTGTACCGCAAGAATCTCTGAAACCAGTTTTAAAGCAATAGCTTAAAGTATTAAAAATGCTTTATTGATGCTTTTGTGTAATTTCTACTGGTATGGCTGCTTTTCTTGCATTAAACTCTAAAATAATTCAGGATGTGGATCCATATCTATCTGGAAAGCAGCAAACATGGGGAAACCCCCGTCTCATTATGTATCAGGACACCGCTACGTCCTTACTCACCAAATAAGTTTGCTGCCAGTTGCACTCCCTCTCCCCCACCACTTCCCAGACCCTTGCTTCAAACCCTAACCAGAACCTAAAACACTTTCAATTTTGGCTGGTTTTTAAGATAAAAACATATAAATGTGTATATTGACAGAATCCCGCAGAGCATGAGAAATGTTTTCAGGAATTAGCAATCAGTGGTAGTGATGGTTAAAATCCAGACCAGGCGGGGGCGGGGGGGCCTTTTATTGTGGGCAGTATAAGGTACACCTGTGCACTAATCATGATGTCAGATCAGCATCTTGATGTGGCACACCTATGAGGTGGGATGGATTATCTCAGCACTATCACACATTTAGACTGATTTGTGAACAATGTTTGAGAGAAATGGTGATATTGTGTATCTGGAATGAATTTTAGATCTTTAAGTCCATCTCATGGAAATCGGAGCAGAAACAAAGGTGTTGCGTTTATATTTTTGTTGAGTGTATAAAAGAGGAGATTAGATTTGGTTAAATACCACAGAGTGATGATGGTGTAACTTGTTGCTGTCGTCTTACTAACCTCTGACCTGATGCCACCGATCTAATCAAACGTGTTTACCGTCTTTAAGAGTTTTATTATCTTGTTCTGATCTCCTTTGGGGGGTAGCTGAATCATTTTGCGTTGTTGTGACATCTAGATAAAGAGGGAAGGAAAAATCAAACCTAATTTAGTTAGAAAGTTTGACTTTTTTCATAGCTGAGATAAGAAAAGCAAAGACGCTGGGTACCATTATTCTGGTAAAATGAACCTAAATAATTACCTGATGATCAGAGGAGCTCAGTCATTTAACAAATAAGCAACTGCAACTTTCCAAACTGAAGATGATTAGAGGAGAGTCGGAGTTTTAGCTGCTTAAAGCTGAGGGACGCCACTGAGTTATTCATGTTTTTAATCACTGGAATGTATCGTTCACACGCAATATTTTGGAAACGGCGCGGCCCCCACGAAAATTTCCCATTTAATTTGTTAATCTAATTCATTCATGTTCGCATCGGCATCAGTGCTTATGCATCATCTACCAGTGTGAGTGAGCCTGCTAGGGTTCTTGTGCCCCTCTGCTTGTCAGCTGGTGCATCACAAACAGCTGCTATCTGGGCCAGAGCCACGGCGGGCATAAACTGTGAAAAACAGGAGAAGCTCATCTGACGGCGCCGTGGTGGCAAGGGAGTTCGGAGTGGTTCGACGCCCCCCGCCTTTCTCCTCCTCCGCCATGCTGTGCAGAAGTGCTGACTCAGCGCTCTCTCTGACCGACAACACCCAAATTTATGTCTGAGGTGTTGCCATGGCAACCGGTCTCAGACAGCGTGGTGAGAGTCGACTCGCTCTTATCTGGCCACGCTTGAGGGGCTCGGTGTACATTTTGTCATCAAGCAGGACAGGCTTAAAAATCCTGTCTAAAAAAAGGGGGAAAAAACTGGAAACCAGGCAGAATTTCACTGAACAATCAGCTGGCTTTTCTTCCATCGTGCCCCTCTGAGTTTACGCCGTCTTGTGTGTAACGATGCAACAAAATTAAATGGCTAGATAAAGCCGCACCTCTGTTAGGGCTTTCCTTTGCTTCGTTCGATTGTTGCGTCCTTGTCTGTAGTTCTGAACGTCAGAAACGTTCAGTCAGACTGAAGGATTGCTTTCCTGTGAGTGTGAGTAACCAAAACCAGAGGCTGTAAAAGCTCGGTTAATGGAAAGTCGAGTTGTTTTTGGTTAAAGCAGACGCTGGGTCGATGATGGGCGCTGTCGCCATTAACCAGTTATTAGAAGAGAGATCGATGGGAAGGATTGTTCAGCTGCTCGGCCTGACGGTGTGAATCTGCTGCTCTAACATTGTTTTAGTAATCAGATGTTGATTAAACTGTTGATAATGTTCTGTTGAAGAGAGAAAAACCCAAAATGGTCACTGAAATAACCAAAAACTGACAAAAGTCAAAATGAAAAAAACTCACAGTGTCCCTGGAAAAGATGTGAAGAAATGCCAGGTGTGTTCTGTAGTCAGCATCCAGGTGTCTCCAGCCTGGTTAAAGGCTGAAAGGTAGTCACATGGGCTGTTTAGTATCAGGGTGTGTAACCCACTGAACACCGACCACAGGAAGCTACTGACAAAGTTGTCTCAGGAGATTAAACAAAACCCATGACCCTCTCGACGCAGCTAAGGCTAGAGGACCGTCCCCAGCTAGCTGAAAGCTAGAAGGCCATTTCCGGGGCGCCGAAGCCTAGAGAACCATCTCCAAGCAGCCGAAGCCTAGAGGACCATCTCCAAGCAGCCGAAGCCTAGAGGACCATCTCCAAGCAGCCGAAGCCTAGAGGACCATCTCCAAGCAGCCGAGGCCTAGAGGACCATCTCCAAGCAGCCGAGGCCTAGAGGACCATCTCCAAGCAGCCGAAGCCTAGAGGACCATCTCCAAGCAGCCGAAGCCTAGAGGACCATCTCCAAGCAGCCGAAGACTAGAGGACCATATCCAAGCAGCCGAAGCCTAGAGGACCATCTCCAAGCAGCCGAGGCCTAGAGGACCATCTCCAAGCAGCCGAAGCCTAGAGGACCATCTCCAAGCAGCCGAGGCCTAGAGGACCATCTCCAAGCAGCCGAGGCCTAGAGGACCATCTCCAAGCAGCCGAAGCCTAGAGGACCATCTCCAAGCAGCCGAAGCCTAGAGGACCATCTCCAAGCAGCCGAGGCCTAGAGGACCATCTCCAAGCAGCCGAGGCCTAGAGGACCATCTCCAAGCAGCCGAAGCCGAGAGGACCATCTCCAAGCAGCCGAAGCCTAGAGGACCATCTCCAAGCAGCCGAAGCCTAGAGGACCATCTCCAAGCAGCCGAAGCCTAGAGGACCATCTCCAAGCAGCCGAAGCCTAGAGGACCATCTCCAAGCAGCCGAGGCCTAGAGGACCATCTCCAAGCAGCCGAGGCCTAGAGGACCATCTCCAAGCAGCCGAGGCCTAGAGGACCATCTCCAAGCAGCCGAAGCCTAGAGGACCATCTCCAAGCAGCCGAAGCCTAGAGGACCATCTCCAAGCAGCCGAGGCCTAGAGGACCATCTCCAAGCAGCCGAGGCCTAGAGGACCATCTCCAAGCAGCCGAAGCCGAGAGGACCATCTCCAAGCAGCCGAAGCCTAGAGGACCATCTCCAAGCAGCCGAAGCCTAGAGGACCATCTCCAAGCAGCCGAAGCCTAGAGGACCATCTCCAAGCAGCCGAAGCCTAGAGGACCATCTCCAAGCAGCCGAGGCCTAGAGGACCATCTCCAAGCAGCCGAGGCCTAGAGGACCATCTCCAAGCAGCCGAGGCCTAGAGGACCATCTCCAAGCAGCCGAAGCCTAGAGGACCATCTCCAAGCAGCCGAAGCCTAGAGGACCATCTCCAAGCAGCCGAGGCCTAGAGGACCATCTCCAAGCAGCCGAAGCCTAGAGGACCATCTCCAAGCAGCCGAAGCCGAGAGGACCATCTCCAAGCAGCCGAAGTCTAGAGGACCATCTCCAAGCAGCCGAAGCCTAGAGGACCATCTCCAAGCAGCCGAAGCCTAGAGGACCATCTCCAAGCAGCCGAGGCCTAGAGGACCATCTCCAAGCAGCCGAGGCCTAGAGGACCATCTCCAAGCAGCCGAGGCCTAGAGGACCATCTCCAAGCAGCCGAGGCCTAGAGGACCATCTCCAAGCAGCCGAAGCCTAGAGGACCATCTCCAAGCAGCCGAAGCCTAGAGGACCATCTCCAAGCAGCCGAAGCCTAGAGGACCATCTCCAAGCAACCGAAGCCTAGAGGACCATCTCCAAGCAGCCGAGGCCTAGAGGATATTCTCCAAGCAGCCGAAGCTTAGAGGACCATCTCCAAGCAGCCGAGGCCTAGAGGACATTCTCCAAGCAGCCGAAGCCTAGAGAACCATCTCCAAGCAGCCGAAACCTAGAGAACCATCTCCAAGCAGCCGAAGCCTAGAGGACCATCTCCAAGCAGCCGAAACCTAGAGAACCATCTCCAAGCAGCCGAAGCCTAGAGGACCATCTCCAAGCAGCCGAAGCCTAGAGGACCATCTCCAAGCAACCGAAGCCTAGAGGACCATCTCCAAGCAGCCGAAGCCTAGAGGACATTCTCCAAGCAGCCGAAGCCTAGAGGACCATCTCCAAGCAGCCGAAGCCTAGAGGACCATCTCCAAGCAGCCGAAGCCTAGAGGACATTCTCCAAGCAGCCGAAGCCTAGAGAACCATCTCCAAGCAGCCGAAGCCTAGAGAACCATCTCCAAGCAGCCGAAGCCTAGAGAACCATCTCCAAGCAGCCGAAGCCTAGAGAACCATCTCCAAGCAGCCGAAGCCTAGAGGACCATCTCCAAGCAGCCGAAACCTAGAGAACCATCTCCAAGCAGCCGAAGCCTAGAGGACCATCTCCGAGCAGCCGAGGCCCAGAGGACCATCTCCAAGCAGCCGAAGACTAGAGGACCATCTCCAAGCAGCCGAGGCCCAGAGGACCATCTCCAAGCAGCCGAAGCCTAGAGGACCATCTCCAAGCAGCCGAAGCCTAGAGGACCATCTCCAAGCAGCCGAGGCCTAGAGGATTATCTCCAACCCTCTTGATGTTCCTCTTACAACAGCATCTTATGGTCTAAGGGCTGTAGAAGACCTACCTGGACATGGCTGCAAGAGGAAACGTGGCAGAAAATTGATTACATTAATTATAATATTAGACAAGAAAAACTTCCAAGTACAGTAGAGGTCAACTCCAAGGTCAAGCTGCATCAGTGTCAGATTGCGTCCTCCATAGCTGTTTGAGCCAAAGTGGACATAAAAGAAGACGACCAAGGAGGAAATCGCTGCTGGAAGCGAATCACATAAAGAGAGACTGGGTTTTATCCAAATGCTTGTTGATGAGCTGCAAAGTTCTGGGAGAACGTCCTTTGGACAGGTGAGACAAAGCTGCAGGTTGGTGCCCAGTTGCATCAGCGATTGGGCTGCTCTGCTGCATCTGGTCCAGAGTGTCTTTTATCTGGTCCAAAAAAATATCGGACCATCAGTAGCAAAAACGTTGTATGGGTTGTATGGGTCCTCCAGCAGGATAACGGATCAGAACCAAACACTTCTGAACTACGAGCTCTGATCCAGATCCTTTAGAACATCTGTCGATGGATCGGAAACACCTGGAGAAGAAATTCTTCAGACCTGAGACGGCTGGAACATACCTGTGGACAGGTGTGGAATGTCTCATTGAGAGTTTCAGGAATCAAAAGGTTGAGCAACCAAACATTAAATTAAAGTGTTACATCCAGGGTTTGTACACTGGCTATAACACGGGCATGTCCCAACATGCCCACGTCTAACACACACACACACACACACACACGCGCACACACACACACACTGTTTTTTATAATGTAAAGGAGACAATAACCAGGGACATTCAGATTCCAGCATCGCTCTAGAATTCAGCTTAATGGGCATTCTAAAAGAAACGTGATTTATAGATTCTTCACATTCTTCATATAGAAGTCTATTGTTTAGGGTGTGTGTGTGTGTGTGTGTGTGTGTGTGTGGTTTCCGTGGCCTGGGCTGTGAGTGCCAGAGATTCCTCATTGTCAGATTAATGGATTGAGCTGACCCAGTAGCGGTCGGCGCGTGGCCCTTTGTGGCTCAGCCAGCGCTCATGTGAGCCGCTCCTGCACCTTAAAACACGAAGAATGATCATAAAAATTGTACATAAACACATTTTACTGAAATGGCAGCAGGTATGATTTCAGCTTTATCTAAATTAACAGTGAATGAGAGAGCAAGAGAGGAAATGAGATCCACAAACTTCTAGCATGCATGTTAGCGAGCTAAAGGCCAGGGCCCCTGAGATGACAAATTCAGTGATTCTGATTGGCTAAAATATCCTCCAGTTCTCCCTAGCAACCAGGGAAGGCAGTGCCCTCTTTGGACTAGCCGTCACTGCCAACAACACTGAAGAAATAAATTTAAACCATGTTTATTTAAACACACCCATTCTTTCTTGTCTTTTTCTAGAATATTCTCCTACCTAGATGTGGTTACACTCTGCAGGTGTGCACAGGTGTCCAAGGTAAGCTCCTCCCTTTAAATGAATCATAATTCATGCAGCTTTAATAGAATTTAGTATCAAAATGGTCATAATTCCTGTGAGTAAATAAACATTATTTAGATTTTTTTGTAATTAAGTGCCCTCTGCTGGCTTCATGCAGTCTGTCCTGCTTTAAGGAGATTTTTTGGTCATTGGTGTTTGTTTATTTGACCAGGCTAAGAATGCTTTACTGTAATCATGCTTGACGACATTCTTGAGATGACAGCATCTTGAAAATCCCGTCATGCAGTAGTATTTATAACCAGAAACGTTCTTCTTTATCTAAATGAGATTTTGGATTATTGGTACTGGGGCTGATTCACGATTGTCAGGATTTTCTCCACCTTTAAGCATTTTAGACCCTGAATTAGGAAATTCCCTAATTCCCTTTTTGCTAAAATACCAAATAGGCACACCGGGGAGGAAGAGACCCATTTTAAGGGCATTGATTTCCCTTCATAAGCAGCGGTCAGCCCGCTAACTCTCCCACGTCTCTCTGACCCCGCTCCTGTTTCTCCAAACTTCCTTTTCCCAGGCGTGGAACGTCCTGGCTCTAGATGGCAGCAACTGGCAGAAGATCGACCTTTTTAACTTCCAGACAGACATCGAGGTGAGCGGTGTGTTTGCAGCATATCGCTGCTGGAGCTTGTTGAGTAGCATTACCCTGCCCGGGGCTTAGCGCTGGGTCACTAGGCTTTGGTGTCAGCTGTGACGTCTCAGCTGATCCTCCGGCCAAGTCATCTCTCTCTCTCTCTCTCTCTCTCTCTCTCTCTCTCTCTCTCTCTTTCAGGGGCGGGTGGTGGAGAACATTTCGAAGCGTTGTGGAGGCTTCCTGAGGCAGCTCAGCCTCAGGGGCTGCCTGAGCGTTGGAGATGCCTCTATGAAGTGAGATTCTCTGACATTTGATGATTTGGTGACCAGAACTCATCCTGTTGGTTTACTCATTGTTTTTGTCTCTGGGTGATTATGTTTGAAGTTTTAAGCAGCTTCTGCTTCTTTATTCTCAGTGGAACTCTCTTTTAAACACAGTTTACTTTGTACCATGGACGTAATTTTTTTGGGGGGGACAGGGGGGACATGTCCCCCCCACATTTTCCAAAGTCAAGGTTTGACCCCTGCACTTTTTACCATCCAAAAACAATATTACGCTATTTAAATTGACACTGGTTGAGCTCTAGGACCAAGCAGAAATCAACCGTTTGTGTTGAAGCCTGTTTCCCATTAGAACATACTGTAAAGATAACCCCCCCCCCGTGTCCCCCCCACTTTTAAACTGAAAATTACATCCATGCTTTGTACCTCCTTAAAAGGACTAGAAGATGTATGTTAATCCTAAAGAAGTACAGGAGAGAGTGGAAGCGTTGGTCGAACATGTAGAAGAAGGTTCCTAACAGACGTGAATATAACTTTAAAACATAAAACATTCAGTGAAGCGACTCTTGTGTCTGTTTCCCAGGACCTTTGCTCAGAACTGCAGGAACATTGAGGTCTTGAACCTGAACGGCTGCACAAAGATCACAGACAGCACCTGCCTCAGCCTCAGCAAGTTCTGCTCCAAGCTCAAACAGTTGGATCTCACTTCCTGTGTGTCCATCAGCAATCACTCCCTCAAGGCCCTCAGGTACAGCTACGAAACACAGTTCCCTTCTTCGTTAAGTCGCTACTCGGGTTGTCACGGTAACCGGTGTAGCGGTAAACCCCGGTAAAAAAGTTGACGATAATAATAACCGTCGTGTTTTTTAAAACTATATTATCCCGGTGGGTTACCGTGGCTGCGGTGTAGGCGCGGTGACCCTTACCAGACACCGTATCATCTGCTGAAGTTGCCGGCGGCACATGCGCGCTTTGTTGTTTACAGCCAACACTTTACTGAAGGTAAAGCTGAAATAATGGCCAAAGGAGGAGACGGCAGCACTCAGGACATTTATTATCCCTCAAAGAAGACAAAGTGGGAAGTACGGGCATGTTTTGGATATTTGGAGAATGCCGAGGGACAGCTGATAGAAGACGGCTATCCTGTTTGCAGCACGTGCAGAAAAAGAGTCTGTGAAAGGCAGCAACGCTTCAAATCTCATGACACATCTGCGTGACCATCACCCACAACTCTACAGTCAACGCAAGGCAAGCTAACGTTAGCGTTTTAGCTAAAATGCGTGATCCGAGGATTTGGGTTGAGGGAGAACGCAACGAGTCGCTATATAAAGCAGCCGCAGCGCCGCTACCTGCATATAAAGCGTGTCGCGGACACCGCCATGTTGAAATGACGCTATGCATTACGGGGCTCCCAGGGGCAGATAAGAGTTGGTCTCTCTCCGAGAATAATTATGAATTTAACAACAATTACTGCCTGATGACATTTTCCCACATCTGCAAAGCTCACTGGAAGGACACAAACCGAGGACAATACTTTCCTGATATAGGGATTATTACTCAAGTAAGAGTAAAAAAGTATCTGATTAGAAGGCTACTTGAGTACTGAGTATCATCTGATCTAATATTATTAAAATGATGACATCAAACAGACAAAACATAAGAAGTTATGGGCAAATATTGGTATTTTAAAGACTAAAGGGGAAAAATGTAAACAAATAAACAACATAATTACAAAATAACACATTTTAGGCAAAATTTAGACACAAACTGAGGACAATATTTTCCTGATATACAGGGTTTATGTAGTTGTCTGAAAATGTAACGCGTTTAAAAAAATACCGCGATAATACCGAAAACCGTGATAATTTTGGTCACAATAACCGTGAGGTTACATTTTCACACCGTGGCAACATTAGTCCCTACACACCTAACTCCGCGTTGTCTCCTACAATGTTCAGCGACGGCTGCAGGATGCTGGAGATGTTGAACCTGTCTTGGTGTGATCAGATCACGCGTGACGGCATCGAGGCCTTAGCCAGAGGCTGCACCGGTTTACGAGCGCTGTTCCTCCGAGGCTGCACGCAGGTAAACGCTCTAGGAAGTCTGGCTTGATGTTTTGGTTGCTTCCCTGCTCCAGCACACCTGATTCACTAGCTGAATTACCCGTTCAGGATGCCATCAAGTTCCACAGAAGCCTGTTAATCACCTACTGATTAAAATCAGGTGTGTTGAAGCAGGATGGTGGCCCTTGAGGGCCACATTTACACACTACTGGTAAAGATAACGTTTTGGAGACTTTCCTTACAAAATGTTCAGTTAGTACACTACTTTAAGCTTCAGGACCTAAAAAGCTTCCTGTTTTGTTGAATTAAGCTTTAATCCCTACAATTCTCTAATTTGATTATTTCCTGCTTCATATGAGAAGAAAGAGACTCAGTAAAATGTTGATCTTCTAGAAATTCTGGTTTAATTTTACTCGTTGAGATTCTTGCCTAGATTTTATGCCTTAACTCATTTACTGCCAGTCCTTTCCTGACCAGCTTAGTGAACCCAACCAGCACTAACCTGGGGGTGGTTTTAGACCCAGAGCTGCGGATGGACTCCCACATTAGCCAGGTGGTTAGATGCTTCTTTTTCCAGCTTCACCGGCTATCAAAGATGAAGTCCATCCTGACTAGATGTGACCTGCACACAGTGATCCATGCATTTGTGATCTCTCTCTCGCTTGGATTATGCAAATTCCCTTTTTTATGGATCCACATCTTCCTCAGTTGCGCGCCTACAGCTGGTGCAGAATGTGGTGGCCCGCCTTTTGACGTACACCAGAAGGAGGGAGCACATTACTCCTGTTCTGACCCAGCTGCACTGGCTCCCGGTGCGCTACCGCATCCAGTATAAAATTTTACTTCTTGTTTTTAAGTCGCTCTATCTTTATGCGCCTCTCTACTTGACTCAGCTGGTTCAGCCTTATGTACCTGGTCGAATTCTTCGATCAGCAGACCACCGCCTGTTACAGGTCCCAAGTGTTCGGGTGAGGACTCGAGGAGAACAAGCTTTCTCAATCTGTGCGCCTCGTCTCTGGAACCAACTCCCCCTAATAGTGAGAATGGCCCCCTCTCTCTCGCTCAAATTTTAAATCACGCCTGAAGGCTCATTTTTATTCCTTGGCTTTTACTATAGCCTAGCTGGCATTTTACGATGTTTTTTGTTTTGTTTTTTGTTTTTATAATAGTTACGGTACTACTTTTTATTACTTCTTCCCGTGTGTTGATTTTATGCTCTTTTACCGTACAGCTCTTTGGTTGGCCTCGGCCGTGTAGAAATGTGCTTTATAAATAAAATAGAATGGAACACGTGATCTATGCACATAGAGAGGTACGTGCGCGGGGGCAGGGACAGTCAGAGGAGCAGTTTGATGGATGGGTCAGGATCCAGTCATTAAGAACAGGATGTTTTATCATTCCATTGTATACAAACATTGATCACAACATGCCGTATAGGTTATAAATTGTAAGTCGCTTTGGATAAAAGCGTCTGATAAATGAATAAACATAAACAAACACAAGTATCCTGAAGTCAAACTGAAGGGAAATGTACATTTCCACTTATCTTGTGCTGATTTACTGTTTAATCCAGATTTCTCAGAGTTGTAGGAGAAGAATTTAGACTTTATTTGACTGTTTTACTCTTTAATTTCATGTAAAAATCATATCTTAGTCAATAAAAATCTTTCACCCCCCCCAGCTAGATGATGGAGCCCTGAAGCACCTACAGAAGCACTGCCCTGAACTCACCACCATCAACATCCAGTCTTGCACAGTAAGACACACATTTGATTGTGGAATTTCAGGAGAGGGAGAGGGAGTTGTATTTTTGTGTGTTTTCATTTTATATTTTTTTGCAACCAGCAAATAACTGATGATGGTCTGGTCAGTTTGTGTCGGGGATGCCACAAGCTGCAGATCATCTGCGTGTCCGGCTGCAGCAACATCACTGATGCCTCTCTCACTGCACTGGGACTTAACTGCCCTTTACTCAAGTAAGACACACACACACACACACACACACACACACACACACACACACACACACACACACACACACACACACACACACACACACACACACACACACACACACACACACACACACACACACACACACACACGCACACACGTGCACACATAGGCACAGTCACACATGCATAAACACACACACATGCACACATATGCGTGCACACAAAGACACACTCACACATGCATGCACACATGCACACACGTGCTTAAATACACACTCGCATATGCACACATATGCGCGCGCAGACACACACACACGCACACACACACACATAGACACAGTCACACATGCATAAACACTTATGTGTGCACACACACACTCACACACATGCACACACATATACGCACGCGTGCATAAACACACACTCACATTAATGCACACATATGCATGCGCACACACACATGCATGCAACCACACGCATATACATACATGCACTCACACGCACATGCTCACACATACATGCGCGCACACACATACACGCACACATTCATGCGCACACACATGCACAAAACCGCATGCACAAATATATATATATCGTAAATCCTCTAATATTAGCCTGTATTTAATTAACTGCCGGGTATCATATTTTGGCCGGTGTCGGAGTCGGCGGAGGTGAATAATGGCCGTTTTTTTATTGTGGCCGGGTGGAATGTGGTAACAAGCAAGTATGGGGGGCGGTTGTGTCATCCATCTCACTTTTGATTTGCCAGTGATAGACCACGAGGGTAACTAACCGTGCCAGAGCGTCGGTACTGACACCTGCCGTAAAACGGACATTTAACCAAACTGTGACGTTTACCCTCTTGCAATTTAACCTTCCCCTCACCCCATCCTAACCTTAACCAGCTTGCGCATGCAAAGCTCTGATTGTTGACGCGCTCCAGACATCTGCATCCTGAGCACGGCCACAGTAACATCAAATCAGGTGTCGCCACCTCAAAAACTAATTTAACACGCGATCGTTCATGTCGGCTCATTTCCTTTTATGTTTTCTGTCTTTTATTCTTTTATTTGTGCCTGATGCGTTTCGCTGCTGTGGAGCGGGGCGTATCACCTGTTTTGTCCTCCGGTGACGCACCTAACTGATGTGGCCGGCGAGCAGCGGCACTCTGCTGTTTTTGCGGTCGGTAGATCTTTTAGAACTGCAGTTCAAAGGTAACTCATAAGGTGAATATATATGAACCCAGGTAGCAGTTTTTCTTTAGGATTGAGAGGAGATGCAGGAAGATAATAAACAGACAGGACAGAAAAATAGTCAAATAAAAACAAGTTAGTTTTTGTACCTGGTGGTTGCAACAAACAGACACCACTGAAGGTAATCAGAAGTGAGGAACAGAAAATAAAATAATTATTTTAATGTTTAGAGCAGCAGGAACTCTGAGAGGCTGCAGGTGCATCAGTGAGTTTGCGGCCGCTGCGCAGGGGGAGGGGGGAGAGGACTGAAGCAGAAACTACCGTTATTAAAAGTAATGTGTTTAACTTTGAAAATGTGGGCGCAATTTTAATTGTCAAAAACTCCAGCGAACCATTAGTTCATTTTGCTTAAATAGAAATTGAGGCCTGCCTCTAATTCTGGTCCTCCTTCCAATAAAGGCCTGGAGCTTGATGAGCTTGAGTCAAATACAGACCCAGGCCTGTATTAGAGGATTTACGGTACACTCATACATGCACACACACACACGCACACACGCACACGCACACACACACACACACACACACACACACACGCACACACACACACACACACACACACACACACACACACAAACAAAAGAAGCCCTGATAGGGAACACAGCTTTCGGTTTTTGCATCCATCCTGGAGCTGATGACATTTTCCTCATGGTTCTCTTGCCTGTGCTCTAAGGATTCTTGAAGCTGCGCGATGCTCCCATGTTACAGACGCCGGGTTCACGGTTCTCGCCAGAGTAAGCCTCATTCTGTTTTCCAGCCCAAAAACGCTTTCACCTGAAATTCAATTATTTCTTTTCTACAAACACCGACTGTTTGTCTTCACAGAACTGTCACGAGCTTGAAAAAATGGACTTAGAAGAATGTATATTGGTAAGCTAGCTTGTAGCTCTGCCTTTTATGAGAGTCTGTGACGGCATTTATTAGCAACACGTAACTCCTCACAGAGACGTCTCTCCCCAGACTTGTGAGAACAGTTTACTTATTGAGCTTGTGCTCTCCGCAGGTGACAGACAACACCTTGGTTCAGCTGTCGATCCACTGCCCTCGGCTGCAAGCGCTGGTAAACATTTACGCCTGCAGGGTCTGTGTTTGTGCTGCACGCTTGTCTGTCCTAAACCTGTCTTTCTGGTCAGTCCCTGTCTCACTGCGAGCTGATCACTGATGATGGCATCAGAGCTCTGAGCAGCAGCACCTGCGGGCAGGAGCGCCTCACTGTGGTGGAGCTGGACAACTGCCCCCTGATCACCGACGTTACCCTGGAGCACCTGAAGAACTGCCACCGCCTGGAGCGCATCGAGCTCTACGACTGTCAGCAGGTCACCAGGGCCGGCATCAAACGCATCAGGGTAAGTGGGCGGAGTGGAAAAAAAAGACCCAGTTGTTTGATTCTCCAGTGATCAAAGGTGAATATGAGAAATCTGCAGAGAAATTCAAAATGAGCTTTTATCATTTCTGTAATTTCTTTTGTCCTCCACAGGCACAGCTGCCAGAGATCAAGGTGCATGCATACTTTGCGCCGGTAACACCCCCTCCCTCTGTACATGGAGGTGGCCAGCGTTTGTGCCGCTGCTGCATCATCCTCTGACAGTGGAGGGCCAGGGGGGGGCACCTCTGTTTACAGGTCCTGCTGCTCTGATCTGATCCGGGGGGGGGGGGGGGGGTGTAGGAGAGAGGATGGGCTGGACCCGCTCACTGCTCCTGATCACTGATTCTTGATCAGTTCAAACCGACCCTCTCTCCCTCTTCTTGCTGCAGCAGATCGGGTTTGAGCTGCAGGGAGGTTTGAGGAAAGAGACACAAATGGATGGACTTTATTTCTTTTTATCTTTCCGTCTTGTTCTTTCTTTCTTCCTCTCAAAACAAAACAGATTGTCCGCTCCATAGCTGCCCCCCCACATGCCTCTGATGACCCACCTTTGGGTGTAAAAGACTAAAACCGAACAGCTGAACTAGTATGAACTGTTTTAAAACAAAAAAAAAGATGATAGCATCATGATGGACGACAGCTCCGTGGAGTTTCATCTCGGCCAATCACGCGACACCGCTGTGTGACCATTCTGTGACTCATTCTGCTTTGACCAATAGACTCCGAGCTCGGAGAAAGATAAAACAGGGCCGTGGCGCTTTGGCAACGCCAGCTCTGCTCTGCAGACAAACAGGACTTGTAACATATTTGTTCATCTGGAGAAAAAAAAAACACAAAACAACAATTCTGTTGATATTTTGGTTCTGTTTGTACAGAGAATGTTTTGCAACAACAAAGATGTAAACACCTACAGCAACTTCTTCAGAAATGTAAGAAGGGCCAACAAAAACATTATTTTTCCTTTTTTTTTCAGTGCTTCTTGTAATCGTCCATGCCTGTTTATTCAGAAAAAGGCTCGTCTTTTTTTTTTTTTTTTTTTTTTTGTATGTAAAAGAAAAACCGTTGCTGTTTCACAAAACAAGGACCTACGATTCAGACCCTGAGGGTCAAAAAGCAGTCTTTTGGCACTAGATGCTTTGGGGACGGGTGGTCTCCTGTGAACTGTGTGGTTATGTTGACTTCTAGGCCCTGATCCGGTCTCATCAGTAGCCCTGTGAACTGTCTCCTACTTGACCACTTAGCCTTTGTTTACATTTCAGATTAGGTTAGCACCACAGACTAACCTGTTTACATCGGCAGGTTTCCGGTCCCACTCACTATTCAGAGTTAGTCTGGATAGTTTAATACACTGATATAACTGGGGCATAGCCATAGGAAGGTGGACTGTGAAGTCCGTTGTCGGGATCCATTGCCGTGTGTATCAGGAAATCAATCAAAGCTATAGATGGTGAAAAAGCATCAAAAGTGAAAAGGAATTTATCGAATTGGGCGTGAGATTGTGAGTAAAGGCACCTCAAGTATTTGACAATCACGTGATTTTGTGTATTTGAAAGTTTATTTAGTATAGATTTGTGTAATTGTCCATTTAAATATGCTGTAAGAGATTATGAATTGGCTTATTTTTCCCTATTCTAGCACCAGATTAAATATTTATGAATAGAATGTTACACACCTGAGGAAATCTGACAAGTCATATCATTCTAATTCATTCCAACAATTTTTCTGTTGTCAGTTCAGAACAGAAAGGCGATCCATAGTCACTCGAGAGCCATGGAATCAACAGATTAATTTGCCAAATACTCTTTGAGATCAATAAAGTCTTTATATTTATCTCACCTAGATGACACTTTAAGACGTTCTCCTAGTTATCGAAAAGAAAGCAACCTAGATTATTATCACAAACGCGAGAATTGGAAATATGCGGTGCCAAGTGCTTTAAGACTTAGGCGAACAGGAGGACAATGGATAAAATAGAGTGAGAACAGAAGATCAGGGAAGATTCAGAAGACAAGTATACTTGGTTGACAAGACTGGTTGTGATACTAATGCCCTCAGTTTGACAGCTATTGAACAGTTTTATGTCTAAGAAAATAAAGAAATACGTGAAAATAAATGAATAAATAAAGATTACTAATAGTAAATGTGTTTTTGTCAATATTTCATAGCAAAATGCGGCAGATCACCATCTAGATGTCACTAGAGCGCCGTGTTCCTAGCCGGCATGTCCACACCAACAGTTCGTTTTTCTGTCAAAACAAAAAATGGGTTACCTATTAATAATTAATAATACGGTATATTTAACGTCTCTTTCATTTTCTGTTAAATATAGTTTTTCGTGGATCCCAGTACAATTGGTGCAACTTTATTTTTCATCAGGCATCGCTTTGGCTAGCTGTGCGGTGCACCCCGGTAAATAAACTGCAGTAAAAGATGTTGTGCCGACAAAAGTACCCCTGCCGTGAAAGGCTACCACAGAAGCGCAGTTCCGAGACCACTAAGTCAAAAGTGACTAAAGTACTTTCCAGTGCACATAAAAAATATTACGTAAAATCCCTGGTTTACGATATTCCTATACGATATATAGTGTATTAATGGTAAAGTATGAAGTCACAACACATGACTGGTTAAGGCTTCTCTGTCTAGCCCATTAAAGTGTATTTATAAGTTAATAATCGGATAATTATCTGACTTCACAAGCAGTTTTTTACGTTTTTTATACTTCGTTTTCGCTTTCCACGACGGGTGCTTTTAAGGGGTGCCCAATCCTGGTCCTGGAGGGCCGGTATCCTGCATGTTTTAGTTTGAACTCCTGTTTCAACACACCTGATTTCAATCAGCGGCTTCTGCAGAGCCCGTTGAGCTGCTGCACAGGCGTTGGGCACCCCTAAACGGGAAGGCACTTTTTCGGCACAACACCCGTTCGGCGCCGCGCAGGCTCGCTCTCAGCCGCTTTCAGCGGTTCTAGTTGGAGCAGTGATTATTCCTGGATTTTAAGAAACACGTTACCGGCGAACTGGAGCGGCAGTCTTGCGGGGATTCGGCACAAATTTCCCGTAAACCGAAGCGCGTAATCATGAAGTAGAGGAGTTACGGAGCTAGGCGACTGAAAGGCCTGCGGATCATCAGTGTTAGCTGGCGATGTTAGCCGATGTGAAGCTATTTGTATGGGTCACTGTGCTAACTAGCCTGATGCTATTTGGTTAGCATAACAGACAGTAACTTGGGACTTTTAGCCTGTGTAGATGTGAATATAATGACAAAACCTGTCGGGTTCGGTTATATAACATTTTTAGAAGTTTTATCGAGTTTTGATTATAATTTGCGCCAAACTTGACTAGCAAAAGCAGCGCGCTACGACTTTTGTCGCAACGTTCAAAGTCGAGCCCTTGGTTTGGATTGGGGAAAAGTGGTCTGTATATTTCTAGCGAGACCTAATCTTGATGATCAAACGCCAGTTAAAACCAGACCAAGGAAAACTCTATTTCTGCTTTTTAACCGGGCTACACTTTACATCCGTGCACACACCGTCCTGCCGACCGTTGTCTCTAGCCTTTGGTCGGCTTTAGTGGCTGGCCCCACGGCACCGAGTGCCCAATGGAGGAGTATGACAACATGGACTATTTTTACCAGCAGGTACTGCAGAAAGACGTTACACGTAGACTGCAGGTCGGACAGGACCTGATAGATTACCTGAACGACCCGCATCGCTCCCCGGACGTTGAGCAGGACAAGCCTCGGCTGGACAAAACCATAGACGAAGTAACGGGATGGGTGAACTCGAGCAACTTCAAGGTGAGACATATTGGCCAGTAACGACGATCTCTTTATGAATGACAGCTGAACTGCTGAGCCTAACACGAGAATATAAGTTAAAACACAGCTCCTATCATCTTGGTTCTGGATGAGGTGATTTAAACCATCTCATTTCCTTCCAGACAGCAGGGAAGGAGCAGAAATCTGTGTTGGCACACAGCCCAGCAGTCTAATCCTGAGCTTTAAGAGAGGGAGACATTTTTAAACATCTTCCATGTGACTGGGTACTTTATCTGGGCATTCCTGTGGGGTTTTGCTGTTTTTATTTCAGTTTAACCCAGACTGATGGTGTCTGTGTGAAGGAGTCGGCAGCAATGACTAGAGGGGGAGGGGCTAGGAGAGTCATTGTTGTGATCCCTGATTTTCTCCATCACTTCCTCTTTTCCAACAGTTTCTGTTAATGTTTTTCTTTTCTTTCTTCTGTCTAGAATCTATAACATGACGTAGTATTTTACTCAGCCAGAGTGTTTCATAACTCTTAACGTAGATTTTGTAGACTTTTACTGTTGATTCAATGGGAATTTCACACAATAAAGGCCTCGTACATTAATTAATGCGTATTAAAGGTTGCAGTCATTAAACACACCCAATCACACATCAAATGTATATCTAACATTCAAAATAACATATTCTAACTACAAGATTATACACTGAAGCATAGCGTGACTTGTCTGCATCAGCTCCATCCCGTGTTTCGATTACCCATTATTTACTTTTATAAAAATCTGAATGGTTCTGTGCATTTTCCATTCAGTAACACAAATGCTCAGATCTTTGCTGCGGGTTGATCCCTTGTCAAATTAAAAAAACGCAGGAGGAGTTGTCCAGGTGAGGCTGGAATAGGGTGCGATGAGTTGACAGGAAGTGGGAGAGGGGTGCATTAATATGTCTTAATGTAACAGGGCTTTAATTTGTACCGACCCTTTCAATGTGCTTGTGCATGTTCCAGCGGCTCGTCAGGCCTCTATGAAATGTGCAAACACAGGTCATAATAATGCACGCTGCATATATGGACAGCGAGTTGAGGAGATGGCTGCACACTTCCTTCACTGATCTAGAGGTTGATTCTGATACCATGCGGTTCTTCCCTTGCATCTAAAATGTGGGGCATTACTATGCTTGGAGGATGCATATTTTAGGCAGTTTTATTAAAATAAAAATAGCAATCACTCAATAAACTTTACTTGATTTAAATAAGAAAATCCTCTCTAGAGTGTGCAGGCAAGTTTTAAAATTAGAAATGAAATATTAGTAAACAGTCCACACACGGCTATTATTGTAAGTATAATTACAGTTGGTCCATACTTCCTTTTGGAACAATGACTATATTTTGATATTAGTCGTGTGTCTTTTCCTGCTGGAGCTTTGTGGGAAGCAGCTGCAAGAGTTGTATGCCAGTCTGGTTTCCAGGTAGTCTGCTCAGACAATAATCCCAGTCTCCTTTTGGGCATTTTTGTTAGTTCATCATCCGTGGATTAGCGAATAGGAGTACAGTAATCCCTCGTTTATCGCGGTAGATGCGTTCCAGACCTGGCCGCGATAGGTGAAAATCCGCGAAGTAGGGACTCCCAGCATGCCCCTCGCGGGGATTCCCTTCACGTCGCACCTACGTCACAAACCGCGGCTATAAACGGAAGTCGCCTTTCCAGCTCACCACTCAGTCATCGTTTCTTCAGATTCATGATCAGAGTTTCCAACCTACCGATCAATCCAACGAACTATCAGCTCATAGTAAGTTATCTTACTTACTTCTGGAAAGCCCGGCATTTCCGTGTCACTTCGTTGACGCTCGAACGCTCGGGGGTTTCCTAGATCAGCCGGCGTTTCACCGACGCTCTCACTTCCGCGTTTGTGAAACCACTCTCCCTACAAGCTCAACTCCCGAATCCAGCCGCCCTGTCTGACATACAGTACTATATTGAATTATCGTATGATCACATTCTCTTTTTGTGGGTAAAACTCAAGAAAAAATTTTTTACTTGTTTTTTTTTTAGTTTTATTACAAAAAGTGCATTTTATGATGAAATTGATGAAAAAAACAAGAATTTCTTGATATTTCGCATAGAAAAATACCGCGAATCAGCGAAAAATACCGCGAATCTGCAAATTCCCCCTGAAAAATGCTCCAAAGAAAAAATCCGCGAAGCAGCGATGAACGAACCGCGAAGTAGCGAGGGATTACTGCAGAACTACGTGTTCTTTATGAGTTTGGGCCTACATCGTTGAGCATAAAAACAACAAAATCACCCCCCCCACCCCCCACGCATAGCTGCTAGGTGAAATGAAGTGAATCTTATTGTAATTTAAAGACGCACTTGGCAGTTTTGCCCCTAGTTTCTGTTTAGTAGAACCAAAACGTATCTCCTTGCTGTGCGTTCGTCTTTTTGACACCTTAATCTAACGGCTGAAATGTCTCCCAGCCGTCCTTAGTGTCTACAGGAGCGATTCATCACTGAATTAAACAAATTAGCTTTGTTCATGTCGAGCAGAAAGGACCGGCACTCTGAAGCTGCAAGTGCGGTATTCAGGCCGCAGGGGGTGATGGGTGTCTGAGTGACGTTTCATCAACCCTGTACAGGGTCATTTTAGCCATACTGGCTGAAAACTATTTAAAATGATGAAAACATTACACAGTATACCTTTAACTGGAGTCAGTGTGACAGGAAGTTGCAACAAATGCATTTCCTGTGGATTTGCTTTATTAAACAACAGAAACTTTAAATTAGACGCCACCATACTTCATATTTTTGGGTCGTTGTTGTGATTTGATGAGGGATCCATCTTGGATTATTCCGTACCGTTTTTAACGGGGTTGTAGAAGTTTTAGGGACATTTCTTTTGAGTCAGTTTGAGTCCAGCTTCTCCGGGAACTCGGAGTAAACCCTTCACATGGTATGTGAATTAGCTGCTAATGCTAGCACACGCACCGACCCGGGATCTCACAAAGAACCATTCATATGAAGTCGACATTTCTCAGCTGCACTGAAGATTTAAAAGCTTCCAGTCAAGAATTAAATGATTAAAAAATATTGTTTAGTGAGTCGGACACTCCTCCTTACAGTCCCCACAGCTATATTCAGGATATTTACTGAAGAAAGTGGAAGAATTTTCTACATTTTATCTGCAGGATTTTTCCATCAGATTTTTCGTCCTTTTCCTCGTAAATGTAGTTAATGCCAGAAAGTCAATTTTTTTCTGCCTCTCCTCCAGTTGGTTCCACCCCCCCCCCCCCAATCTGGAGTCACCTGGTGTTGCTCTTCCTTTTTGACTAAAATAGGGAAAAACCGTTGTCCGCCTCCCCGCAGGACGGCGTCTGGTGAAATAATCTTTACACGGATTTACTTTTGGACCGTTCTTGCCAACAAAAGCATTCCAGGAGCTCTGCACAGCTCGGTGTGGGAATGTGATCCGAATCAGAGCCGCGGTGGAAAAAGTTGATTTGCAGACGCAAATCTGCCTACCCAGTGTTCGGTTTGCCGTTTGTCGTATCTTTTCTTTTTATCAATGTTCTTCACTCCATTGTTGATTCACAGCTGATTGTTTTGGGAACGTGTCTCGTGGGCACAGTTGAAGCAGAATTATCAGCAGGTTTCATTGGAGTCGAACTTCCCGCAATCTGGATGACCTCTGACCTTATGTGGTTCTTTCACTCTGCAGGTGGCGTTGTTGGGGATGGACATCTGTGGTGCGTTCGTGGATCGGATGGGAGAGCGCTTCAAAGGATACCTTGGCACAGGTGACCCCCCGCCATTCCCATCATGTGCTGCAGTTTTCACGTGCACTTTTTTTTTTACTCGTGCACACACGCTCATGGAGCTGTTTCCAGACTAAAGCATGTGTAAACTCAACCGCATCATAAACACGACTTTATGCTTCACGTGCACGTCTCAACGTTTCGTCTCTCACTTCCACTTTGTGTTTCCTCCGAGTCGAGCCACCGGTTCTGCTGCGCCGCCTCAGCGCCGCCTCCCTTTCTCCTTCATCCTTTTAACTTCTCTGTACCCAGGCCCGATTACACCCCACAACCACGGCTTGTGTAATGACCTTAGAGAGTGAGTGCTGTATCAGATTACATGCTCTGTGTGTGTGTGTGTGTGTGTGTGTTGAGCTGAGTAGGTAGATCCATGGATAATGATCTAAAAAGCAATCTCGTATTCCGTTTTTCTGATGCGAGTAAAGAGACCTGTCACACAGCGACTGGTTGTTGGCTCGTCTGTGTTGTGTATTAAGCCGGGCGGACACTGTGCGACTTTTTCACTCGCAGCGTTCAGCTTCAGCTCAAACTGTACGACTTCCTCGCAGGGCAGATCTCACGAGTCGTGTGCTCACACTGTGCGTCTGGTAGCAACACGTCGGCCCTAAAAATGTGCTAAAAATAGCAGTTTTTACTCAACACGTCAGACTTTTTTGTCATGTTTTGCCTGTTGTCCTTCGGGAGTGCTGCAGGAGGACACACAGGGATTTATGGGGGTTGGATGAGGAAAACGAAATAAAGAAAGTGAATCTGTGTTTTGTGATCAGTTTAATTTGACACGAACACGACAAACACGCTTTCTTGACAATCTTTGTGAGTAAAAAAAACGTGTAGAAACAAAAACGAACAGCGTGTGTTATTAGGGAAATAGCGAGCGACCGGCCGGCGTTGATGCAGGGTTGCGCATGCGCCGTGAGCGGTTCTGATACTTTTTGGGTCGCAGCTGCTCGCAGCGCCGCTTCAACAGTGCGATACCCTCACGAGGGACGAGCGAAATATTAAACACACCAGAAGTCCGTGCGACCTCACGACTGCTGATCGGCGGCTGGTCACGTGGTGTTAATCGCCTCTCGTAACCCCCGTGTACACTACACGACTGCTCGGCGCAAAACTCGCCCCGATGTCGTGGCTTCTCGCACGACTGGAAAATCGGCTCAAAAAAGTGAAAAAGTCGCACAGTGTACGCCCGGCTTTACACTTGCCTCCCCTTTTATTGGATAACCCCAAAGGTCAAAGTTCAGTACAGAGAGTATCATTTGGTTGTTACATCAACACACATCATTTCCTGTCCTGTTCTCCTTATAAATAAAAGCATTTATACAATATACAATGTACACATATGTACACCTAAACTGTGCATCAGAGCACAAAACTCAAGTGTGTGTGTGTGTGTGGGCCTGCTTTAGGTGTCACCAGCTGTCTTTGTAAGTCAGACTGAATCTTGTCACCAGCAAACACGCTGAACCCTGCAGGGATTACTGAGCTCTCCACGCTGCCCGTTTCCAACAATACGCTTTTTATCCCCTCACTGTCGAGGACGGAGCTGTGTGTTATGAAACTGTCTTCATGCTTCGGATCGATGGTAAAATCTTTTTCCTGTCTGAGCCACCGCCCACCATGGAATACCCCGACGTCCATCTCTCTGTGGCTTGGTTCTGTTTTCAGGTCGCTGCTCCACCCTCACGGGGGAGGACCATGACATCATTGAGTATTGATCTACAGCTCTGACATATTGCACAGGGCTGCTAATGGTGTGTGTGTGTGTGTGTGTTAAGTTGAACCAGAGGTGAAACTTACAGATGCTTCACTGTGGATGAAACATTCATTCATACAGGATGACCGAATGAAATTCAAAGTGCGCAAATCTGCTCTTTGAGTGTTTGTGTTCATTTTTACTACAGCAGATGACGTGTGCAACAATGCCCCTCTGTCATGCTGTAACTTTGAGGCTATTGTCCTTGTTGCCAAGGAGACCAGCTGTTATGGTTGCAAAACATCCATGCACTCAGTTAAAGGGCAGCTTACATCACTGTTGCTCCCTACTGGGGGTGGGGTGGGGGGGGGGGGGGTGTTGAGAGAGAGAGAGAGAGTCAGAGAATTTCTGAGTCAGACCGAAATAATTTGAACTCGGGGTTTAAATTGAAAGCTTTTCAAACAATATTTACAAATGAAATCCTCAGAGATGAGAGTATTTTGGTACTTCCAGAGTACTTTTACTGCTGCGTCTCAGACTTTCCTCCTCCTCCTGTATGCTAATGCTAGCTTACTACAGCTGTTATTATTTATTCACTTTCTGTGTCTGGTCTCCACTAACTGCTCATGTGTTGTCTTTTAAAAGGACTCCACTTGGGGGCGGTCTTGGTTGTCTTTCACGGTGAAATCCTGTGGAAATTCACTATCAGCTGTGGCCTAATTGTAGTGTTTCTGATCAGAGTGTGACTCATCTACATCCTCTCTCGTTTTTTTGTGTGTCTGTAGTGTTGCCAGCTCTGGTGGACAGGCTGGGCGATGCTAAGGATCAGGTCAGGGAGAACAGCCAAGCGCTCATCCTCCGCTGCATGGACCAGACCACGTCCCCCATGGTGAGACACACACACGCAAACCTTATGGCCAGATAATTCACCATGTTGCATAAGTGCATCGCCCTCATATGGCGTGATGAACTAAAGAATAAACAACAGCTCAGATTGGTTATAGCTCTTTGCAACCTGCTTGTTTTGGCTCCCTCATCTGGAAGGTAAAGGAACTGCAGGGTCTGTTCTGTGTTGTTGACACTACAGATACGTTTTAGCCTTCCTGTGTTTTGTAAGCTGCTCAGCTGCTGCTGAGTGGATGTTCGGCTCGACGGCTTTCCTCACTGTCGTCTCATCGTTTCTTCTCCTCCAGTACGTTTGGGAAAGGCTGCTTCCCGGGTTCAAACACAAAAACTTCCGCTCTCGAGAAGGAATCTGCCTGTGTCTCAGCGCCACGCTCGCCACGTGAGTTATTCCTCTTCCCTAAACTATGGGTCGCATCCAGATGAGTGGATTAAAAATGGATGTACTCGATGTTGTGGCAAGTTTCTACAACCTTTCTCGACCTACTTTGGAGAAGAAACATGCGTGCTCTCTGTATTCAGGAATAATCCTCTTAACTGTTTGTGTGACACTAAAGAAGTAGCACAAGGAAACGGATCCATTCATACAGAAATGTTTGTTTTAGCCCTCAGATCTTCTAGTAAATCTGAGGAAGTGGCATTTTGGTAGGTTTATAAGTCAAAATACTCAAATGCTTGTTTGTCGTAGCTCGTATTTTCTACTTGAAGGTGACACACGGAATCTTGAGTGCTTACATTGATTGCTTTTCCTGGTTTTAGCATGGGTTTGCTAGTGGTAATGTCTTAAGCTGTCACCTGTTACTAATGCTAAGGGTTTTAACTTTGCATGCTTAAAGTGGACAAACATGAAACAAGCAAAACCGCCAAGTGGGCTTTTAATCATGATCTGCGAACATCTCGCCTCTGATTGGCTAACGGTAATATGACTCTACCGCTGCCCACTGCCATCATTCACTCTTCTTTCTTGGGTAAAAAAAATACATCGTCACATACACGTACTTCTGTCAGGTTTCAGCGAGGGGTTTCAGTCACTCATGAAACATGGAAATCAGTCAGAGTAAGGAGAGAGGGGACTCCTCTTGTTCACAAACCATCTTTGTTCCAGTGTGTTGGTCACGTGTCATCGTTTGACCAATCACAGTCAGAGACAGCACGCTGCAGACGATGAGGCAGAGCGGCACTCGCAGTGAGTGAGTGCGTTGTAGTTCAGGGTATCCGCGGGTCCTTAAAAAGTCTTCAAGTCTTAAATTTGCTTTTCCAAATTTAGGGCCTTAAAAATCCTTAAAAATGACAAATAATCCTTAAATATAGTTTCCAAAGGTCTTAAATTACCAAAGACCCAATAAACAAAAATCTTTTTCAATAAAAATTTCATGAATTTCTAGTTGGTGTTCAGCATTTTTTTTTACCAGTGTTGCCAACTTAGCGACTTTGTCACCATTTCTAACGACATTTCAGAACCCCTTAACAACTTTTTTTTTTTTAAAGCGCCTAGCGACAAATCTGGTGACATTTCTGACCCCCCTCAGCTACTTTGACTACAACTTTGTAGAAGACTTTACCTGTAGATTAGCGATGCATCTGAAGCGACAGGACCGTCCTTCCTTCCAGAGGATCAGAAAGAAAATGATCTGCGCATGTGTGTGCAGCATGATCACACTACCCCCATTGACCAATCAAACCTTTGGTGGGTTTTCTTTCACAAGTCCATTAGTTGAGATAGCCACCAGAGCTACATGAAGGGCGACCGCTCCTTCCGCCATCCTGCCGCATTTCGGCAGCTGAGCTCGACTGGCACTGGCAGGCAGCGTCGCACTCGCGCATGGCTTCTCGCACCACTTGTGGTGCATTCAAGGAACATTGGAACTCTATGATGAGTTCAATAACGTAGCACATTTAAAACTTTTATAAAAAAAAAGAATAATACTGTAAGCCAAACACCTCAGGTCATTGGCAGTTTGCATGTAACGTTTCTGAATACTAAATACAGCCTGCTTCTTTTTACACAAACGTACTAAAAACAACAAAAACAAACAAAAACAAAATGTATATATATTATCTGTTAGGTCAATATATAGCACTGAATCACAACAGAAGAAGGCACTTGAAAACTACAAGAGAAAATTCATTTTAATTCAATCATACATACATTCCTATCAGTTTAATATTTTTGTTTTTACGAGTTCCATTCTCTTCAGACAAAACAGAAATATTCCTTCAATTTTTTGTGCCATCTGTTTTAAAGGCTGCTGTTTTGTATTCTATGTTTTTTTTTATTTTAATAACATATTAAAAATAAATTAAAAATTTTTTTAAAATAAAATCACGCGGGTTTTATTTGATTTACTCTACAAGACCGGTGATGTCATGACGCAAACCAGATGACGTCATATGCAAATTAGCATGTGACATCATCTGGAGACATCTAGCGACTTTTGGGGGGAACTTCAGCTACTTTCAGTCAAAAACAGTTGGCAACACTGTTTTTTTACGTAAGATGTCGGCATAAGCAGAACCGTACACGTTCAGCTGGTTGTGAGAGGGGGCTATTTTTAGATGAGCACATTAGCTGCATTAGCTGGTTAAGCTAGTGGGAGCTTGCACCGTGGGGAAGTGCAAGTTTAATGGTAACTGGGTGGTGAATCCCACGTTCACGACGTGGTGGGCACCGGTTCCAGGCAATAGCTGGAAATTATTGCTTGAATTTAATTTCAAAAATAGTTTAAATTTGGACAAAGTGGTCTTTAAAAATGTATTAAAGTCTTAAATTTGGCTCCCTTAAACCTGCAGATACCCTGTAGTTGTCACCCTGCGAGTTTGCAGGTATGCATGTAGAAGCCTCTCAGGTCACTCTAATTGTCACGAATGCCGTTGGCGTTTTGTCGCTAGCCCAGCGAGATACTGACTGTTTTTATTAGATCTGAGGAGGAGGAGTTATAGCTCCAAATATAAATGTCATGGAACCCAAGTCCAGTGTTTCTACTCGTAATCTTCACCTTTGCTCTTCTTGTCTTTATCTCAGGTATGGATCTCAGCCTCTCAGTCTCAGTAAATTAGTTCCACATCTTTGCACTCTGACTGAAGACCAGAATCCACAGGTAGGACACACATCGTCTGTTCAGATTTATTATAACATTCCTGCCAAATTCTCCTAAAGTTTGATTTATTTTGTTGTATTTTTTTCTAACTGAGCCTGTGCTCTCAGCAACCAGAGTGTTAGCAGTCATCTCCTGTTAGCTCTGCTGTTATTACTGTTATTAGCCCCCCCCCCCCCCACTGTGCTTCATTGCCGATGATCACCCACACGGGCATTAACCCACACAGCAGCTCTGAAAGTGTGAACTAGAGAGGCTGGTTGCACCAAAAGGCAGAGTTCTGCTTCCGTCTTCTACCCAATCCTTCGCTCCTCAAATACCGTCCGGACCAATCGGCAAGCTCGGCTTCTTCAGTTACCGAGAATCCTGTTGCAGCATTCAGCTAGCCAATCAGGGGAGAGTCTGAATCTGCACGGCATTATTAAATAATAATGATTGTTGATGTTTACAAATCTGTTCACTGACTAAAAGATCCTGTCGTGTTTACGTGGTGTGAGTGTGACGGTGCTGGGTTATTAAACCGGTCCGTGTCTGCTGGCTGTAGGTACGCGAGGCCTCCATCACAGCGCTGGTGGATGTTTATCGTCACGTTGGGGAGCGAGTCCGAGCAGACCTGGGAAAAAGAGGACTTCCAGCTGCACGGTAGAGTTATGCACTTTGTGTAGTTGTGTGTGCAAGTTGTGTGTGTTTTCAGTTGTGTGTCGTGTGGCCTTGGCACTCATTCTGTCCCAGGCCACACCATGCACCGCTCTGCTCCTCACAAACACAGAAACACTTTCAGTCGGAGCACAATGCTGTTCGGTTGAGAGAAGAGGGTGGGAGGGGGCGGCGCGGGTACAAAGGCAAGGATGAAAAGAGAAAATATCTGTGTTCAGAGAGGATTTGTCCTTTTTTTGGGGGGGGGGGGGGCTTCCTTTAACAAAGTTGTTTCAAAGTGTCCCAGAGTTTAAGACCACATCTACCCTGTTGGTGTTGAGTAAAGGCAGCTCGGCGTGTCAAAAGTACCAAAAAGTCTGAGCCTCCGACTTGCTTTCCTGCATGAATGAATTATGTTGTAATGATTGTGGAGAAGCGGTTTGTTCTGAGAAGAGCTGGTTTGACAGGTCACTAGCTTAAACATGCCAGTTTGAATTAGCATGTCCCGACCCACTTCTACGTTGGCAATATATAAATGTTGGTCACTGCATTGCTAACTGCAGAAAAATGCTAGTCTGAGCTACTGCTAATGCTACTCTGAGCTACTGCTAACGCTAGTCTTGGCTAAGTATTTAATAGGTGCAGGTGAAAAGATGCTAGTCTAGGCTACTTCTTACACTAGCCCAAGCTACTTCTAACGCTTACTCGACTGCTGATGCTAGCCCAAGTTACTGTTAATGTTAGCGCAAGCTACTGCTGAGGCTAGCCTGAGCTAATGCTAACGCTGGCTCTAGCTACTGCCAACTCTATATTGAGCTGCTGCTAATGTCCTTGTCAAATGAGAAGTGAACAACAAAGACGAATGTCGAGGCACACTTACTGAGTTACTAGCTTCAGGCACCGTCATCGAGCTCTCGGGGTAAACCAATTAGCCCACAGTTTGTTTAATATTCATGTCTTACTCGAGTGGGCGGGGCTAACCAGTCATTCTGATCTAGGGCTTTATTATGGGCTTGTGTTTGGCCCTTTATCAGGGCTCCCGGGCCATTTTAAGCCCCAACAAAGTTTCATAAGGTAGATCGTGGCTCAGAGAGCAGTTTCTTCCTTTCTGCCCTCTTCCTCCCATGCAGGGCACCGAGCTGCAGTCAGCGTTGTGTGCTGACTGCTCAGCATGAGTTGTGCGTCTGTGAATGCTGGCTGTGTCCCATGTGTCATGTGTTCAGCATATTAAGCCTGTCTGTCTCCGTTGTGAATGCACTGTCTGCGTTTGTGGGATTCATGCACGCTGGCATGTTTGACTCTGGATAAATAAAGAAACCACACAGATCCAGGTCTGCAATCGCAGCTCCCTTTGGATTTTTTTAGAGGAAGTTGCAGCCAAACATAACTCTCCTCTCATTCTTTAAGTCTGAATATTTATGTTGGTGTAAAGTTTCAGGATTGCTGCCAGACTCTTACTAACCAGATCACACATCATTTCTGTTCAGATTATGGAACAAAACGATGGTTTAATAATACGGGAATGTTGGCTGAGAGGCTTGGGGTTAAAGGTGGAAGTTTGAGGATTGTGACAAAGGAATTTGGGCCCGTGCTTAACTTTTGTTGATGTGCAGAGACTAAATGCAGAATTGGCCCCGTGCCACTTGTTTGTGTTTTTAAACGGCACCCCCGGCATGCCAGAGTCGGTGTTTAAAGTGACTTTTACACGCTTTGCTTGGGATCGCTTAAGCTGCTGTCTCGGCTTCATCGGTGGCGCCAAAACCAGAGCGGTCGTGCCTTCGACCTGCTCCAGGTCAGACCTAACCCAGTGTTTGACTTGACCGGGATTTTTAGAGTCACTGAACTCGAATCGTGGTTTCGTCGTCTCTGATGCAGATCACCCTTTTCCCATCCAATGTCCCAGAATAAGGTCCTTTAGCGAGGGAATACGGAGGAGGAGTTTATAAGTGGGGTGAGAGGGGAAGGTGTAGAGGGGGGAGGAGCTGCTTCTTCTGGCTGCTGCTGGCTGCACGGCCCCTCCCCCCTCTGTAAGGCATGTTTGTGTGTCTGGCTCTGAAGAGGAGGTTATGTAAAGGGTAACGGAGTCTCTTCTCCACCTTTTACATCAGTTGTCACACAAAGACCCTGGCTGGGATCCATCTCTGGGTTTTGTAATACATTTCCACGCTTCCAGTATGAACCTGACAGTAGGCAGTGCCTCAGCGCATGTCTGTGGTCATGCTTAGGTCTCTTGGCGTTTGGCTCCCTCTCTACTTCCCTCCCTCCCTTCCTCCCTCCCCTCTCTCTCTAAGGCGCTGCACCATGTTGGATACAAAGAGCTGAGGACCAGTGTGTGTCACTAGCATGGGGGGTTAATGCAATGCTGCGCAGCAACCTATTAATCAGCCCTCCGGGACGTGCAGAGCTGAGGACTAAATGCAAGCTTTACCAAGCAGAAAACCAAAATGTGGATGAAAGGAACTTAAACGCGCAGCTGAGGAGCCAGTCACAACGCTAATCGTCGCTCATCGGGAGCGGTGTGGTGCTTTTGGATCCTGGAAGGCAGAAAGGAGGACAGGTAGAGGGCTGGGTGCTGTTTGGGGTCTGCTCACATTCATGGCTAACCTTGTGGAGAGGAGAGGACACATCAGCGGATGTTCCTGGACACGCGTCCTCGCCTCCACGGGGTTTAGATGGATGTGTGGATGTTTGTACCAGATCTAGCCTGCGATCGTGTCTCCGTCTGACGTTTGAAGGGCTCTCGTTTTCTCCTCCTAAAGTGTGACTGTCATAATAGACACACCCACCCCCGAGAGCCCGGCGGTCCACATGCTGCCGCTGATGACGTTCTCACCCGGGATTCACAGCAGCTTTATGTCTATCTGTAACAAAGCTCACCGTGTGACTCTTTATTTCAGTCTTGTTTTGATGATTCCTGATTTTCTGTTTCATCAACGCATCTTTGATTTTCTCTAACCCACAGGTTACAGACGATATTCGCTCGCTTTGATGAAGCCTTGAACTCAGGCAACATGGCTCTCAGCCCGAGTCACGGTCAGTGCCACCGCGTTGTGTGTGTGTGTGTGTGTGTGTGTGTGTGTGTGTGTGTGTGTGTGTGTGTGTGTGTGTGTGTGTGTGTGTGTGTGTGTGTGTGTGTGTGTGTGTGTGTGTGTGTGTGTGTGTGTGTGTGTGTGTGTGTGTGTGTGTGTGTGTGTGTGTGTGTGTGTGTGTGTGTGTGTGTGTGTGTGTGTGTGTGTGTGTGTGTGTGTGTGTGTGTGTGTGTGTGTGTGTGTGTGTGTGTGTGTGTGTGTGTGTGTGTGTGTGTGTGTGTGTGTGTGTGTGTGTGTGTGTGTGTGTGTGTGTGTGTGTGTGTGTGTGTGTGTGTGTGTGTGTGTGTGTGTGTGTGTGTGTGTGTGTGTGTGTGTGTGTGTGTGTGTGTGTGTGTGTGTGTGTGTGTGTGTGTGTGTGTGTGTGTGTGTGTGTGTGTGTGTGTGTGTGTGTGTGTGTGTGTGTGTGTGTGTGTGTGTGTGTGTGTGTGTGTGCGCGCGCGCGTGCGTGCGTGCGTGCGTGCGTGCGTGAGCGATTTCTGACAGATCCTGAGCTCAGAGCTGCTCATACTAAGATTGCAGAATCTTCTGACCTTTACATTTATGTTTATCTTTGTAAACTTCTGCTCTAATTGCCTTTTTTTGCTTAATTCCTTTGAGTTTTTGCTGTATTCTATTTGTATTTAAGATTTAATTCCTTAAAAATACATCGGAAGTAGAGGAAGTAGATTAGAGATCAACCGATATTGGATACCGAAGCCAATATGTGCTGCCGATTTTTCTGGGCTGACTTTTTTGGCCAATTTCTAGACGTTTTCCACCTTATTTTCTACTAAAATGTCTCTAATAACATCAGTTGATGCTCAAAATCTCTGAAGCTGAATCAGTTTTTGAACTCTGAAATTAACTAAATGTTAAATCTTAGCTGTGTGCACTGCTCAGTATTAAAATCAGACAGTTAAATAAAGTAAATTTAGATCATTTATTATGCAGATGTAACTAGTGAACATAAAATACATTTAAAGAGCAAGTCACCCCCTGCCATATTCTTACTCAACTTCCACTTCCTGTTTGAAAAATGCAACAAATGCTGTTGCCTAGCAGACTGAGAGGGCGGAGCCACTAACAAATACACACACTCAAGACATTGTGACATCATAATGTGCCATCTAACATCATAATGTACCTCTTAGCCAATAGCGATGGCAGATTTAAATTCAAATGCAGTGCTGAGCTTTTGCCTGACGACGGTGCATTGCTGACAGTTTTAGGCAGATTATTTAAACTTTAACTAAGATTAACTAAAGTGCCAAATTATTGACTGAACGTGTCTACAGAGCAATTAGACACTCATTTATATAGTTTATCAACAAACGAAGTTGATTTGAGGGTGACTTGCTCTTTAAATTAAATTCTGCAGCAGCACCGAGCTGCCCGAGAATGTGCCTGACTCTAATTCGACTTTACCAAGGCCAAATATCGGCTGATGCCGATTTTAAATATCGACCCGATATATCGGTCTACCCCTAATGGAAGTATATTTCCACACTTATTGGAAACAGATTTTTTCCCCATACTGGGAGAGCTTTGGTGTTTGTTTATAAATGACATAAAACTGTAGAACACACGCTGACCCGAAGCTAAGCTAATGTGGAAACATGAATGCGGCTAAAGCGAGACACTCGTTTAAAAGACAAACGTTAGATGGGCTTTTGGTTTCGGGACATTTCAAACTTATCAGGACAATTTAAGGAAAACACTCGAGAGAAACTTTCTGCGCCAAAAGACTTCCTGTTAATATGCCCTTGTAGTTGTTTGTTACGCTTGATCGTAGAATGGTTGTTGCAGTCAGGTTAAAAGGCCTGGGAGTTTATTTTGTAGTAACATTATTCCCAAATCACCTGCATTTCCCATTGGATGAATGTTTAAAGCTTCCAGTCGAGCCTAACTCCGGTTTTCCATCAGGAGTGAGACTTTTGTGAAGCACGATACGCAGCAGATATTTTCCGTTCTAGTCGATGGGTTTGTTTCCGGTCGCAGCGTTGCAGAGCGTCTCAGGCGTGGTGTAGCATTGTGTCACTTTGCTAAATTTAAGCTTCGGCCTCTTTTATTTATTTTTTTTATTTATTTTTTTACACGCTTTGCTTCCAGAATGTTTAAAATGGAGGTAAAGAAAGAAACCAGAAAATAAATCAGACCCTTTGTATTAATGGGTCTTTCTTCCTCCGTGCTTGTTGTTTTGTAAATTGACAAAATCACGTGTGATCTTCCAGTTCTCCTGTGATTTGGGGGGACCTGATACGTAGAATGCATTAAAGACTAAGTTCACTAATTCCTCCAACATGTGCTGTTGTGTGTAGCATAAATAATTGCCTTGTGAGTCGATCTCTGAGGGTAAAAAAGCTCTGGTGCTCCTGCTTCAGGAAGTAGAAGTTAGCCAGAGTTGAGGGGAGCTGATGACGGCAGGATTTGCAGTCTTACTTCCTGATTTTTGGACTTCTCAGCTCGGATTGGATACAGCGACAACTAGGGATGCAACGATACCCGTTCTCGATCCCTGCTCTGTCTTCTCGATCCCCAGTGAGTCGTGGAGGATGGCTGCTTATACTGAGCCAGGATCCTCTGGAGGTTTCTTCCTGTTAAAAGGGAGTTTTCCTCTCCACTGTTGCTAAATGCTTGCTTAGTATCGACCCTTTGCACCGACGTCACCTAATCACGTGGGTCCACCATGGTGGACGGCAAAAGCATGTAAACAGTGAGCGGCATGAGTAGTAAACAAAGGGAAAAGTAGAGCCTGAAATTGTTTTTGCGATCAAAACAAAAACGAAACTCCTCCAGCGTTCCTTCCACTAGTTCATGCCCAGTTCAGTTATCAGAAGAAGTAGCGCAGCTAGCGGTATGTTAACTAGCTTACCAACGTTAGCTTACGTTCTCTCTGCAGCTGTTCACCGATGTAAACATGTTGCTGACTTTGCCTAAATTCACCCAGCTGGATTTATAACATTGTTATAAACAGCGTTTCACTTCACACCAAAGCTGATTTTTAAAAAGTCCGGATCCCTACCAGCTTCTGTTGCTGGTGGTGGTACCGGGTTCAGCTGCTGCTCTCACACCGGAATGAGATCTGTGAACGCAGACGCTCGTATAAATAAATAACGTAATTTTAACACGCGTAATTACACATCGGAGCTTTAATATTGTTGATAATTGTCTCGCTTTGCTCTACAGAGGGACGGAGCGCAGCCTCCGTGGTGAAATACCCGTCCATCAGGATTATCAATGACTAGTGTAAACGCATCACATTTATCCCTGTCCCCGTCTTCCTCGTGAAATAAATGAACGTTAATCTTACCCAGTAAAAACACGTTCGCTGCTAATCCGAGGCCTGCTAGTCCGCTTGATTGATCGCTGCAGTTCATTTCCGTCCTCAGTCTCCGTCAAAGTTATTAAAACAACAAAACGAGTTGAGTTTACGTCCTCGTCTGTTAGTGCAGCCGACCACGCAGCAAGCTAAAACCCGTTTTACTGTCAAATCAGCTGAATAAAAGCCTTAAAAGGCTACAAACTGGCTTGTTTTCACTAGCTTCACTGGAGTTTCAACGGGTGTAAACGGTCTTTTTGCCGTCCATCATGGCGAAGGGGGCGGTCACATGAGTGGCGCGACGTCACGTGCAAAGGGTCAATAAGGGTTGCTGTAAAGACTCTGACACTAGTCAGTGACTCGATGCCACCTGCTGGGTTCCTTATATAGGAAACGTTTTTCTGATTGGCTTAATGAACTGACCTGCATTGGAATGTTTATTATGTGAAGTTCCTCGAGACGACTCTTGTCGTGATTTGGCGCTTTATAAATAAACTTGAATTGAGTTGAATCTACTTGATGCAGATGGGGTGACACGATAAAGATGATCTGTGTTTTTGAGTGTAAAAACTCACCAAAACAACCGATTATTTAAAGCGTGAGAACGCGGCGTACCTAACTCTCGCTAACCTCTTGAGTTCTGGACTCAAACTCTCTCCGTATGCCAAAACACACACGAGCGTTTTAGGCCAACTCCTCCTCGCTTAGTGAAGGGGAAGGGAAGGAGGCAGGGAGGAGAGAGGAAACTGACAGGAGTAGAGTCAGAGCGCTGTGCCTATCACCGCCTCCCCCCGATTCACCACGACAGAAACGGAGAGACTGAATAAACAAGAGAGGAGGAGGTGGAGGGGAAAACAAATGGAAGTTAGTGGCCAGAAGGACCGAAGCAAACTTGGAGCTTTCACTCATTACGCTTGACTATGGAAGTTGGGAATGGTAAGTCTGTTTAATCTGAGGATGTTGGCACCAGACTAAAGCTCGTCAGTCTGCGGTTTTAGACTGAAATCAGATTAAACTTCCATGTACTCTCACCCCGATGCTGCTAGCTGGGATCTGGATTAAAGAATGTCTTTTTACTTCAACGGTAAGAAACTCGTGTAAATGTGAGAAATGTTGAGTTCAGCTCAGGTGAATAAGGGCTTGTTATCATGCACGCTCACACACACACACACACACACACACACACACACACACACACACACACACACACACACCGTTAGAGTTGTGTGTTACAGAATAAGACACGGTCTCGTTGACATGCTCATTCAGCTTCAGCGCACAGTCTGCTCTGCAAAGGAGGCCATGACCCTGTTTCCAGGCTAGACCTGCCGCTGTAGGAAAGCTTTCCTCTTTAAATGTTGTGGAGCATCCCTCCTCCTCCACGACCAGAACCAGAACTTTTCTTATTCATAAGATCGGCTGGAGATGGAGTAGTTTGTCCGGTGTTGTCTTTCCAGAATCGTCAATTCAGTTCGGTTAATTTATATGGCGACAACAATCGTCTCAAGTCATTTCACAAAGTAAACATTCCAATCAGACATCATTAAACGATTTGTCTCCTCTAGGATGTTTTTTTTCTAAGTGGAAAAGATGCTTTAATTTGGAGAAATCACTTAATAAAAGTGGATTTTATTTTACAAGATTACAAACATTTTTAAAAACTACATCGTTAACCTTTTGGTTTTGGTTCAATTCAAGTTTTAATCCCAGCCTCTGCAGAGTTACTCATCATGTTCTTCCCCCCTCGTCTGGTTGTCCTTGTCACATGATCACTGAGTAGTCAGACCGTTTTCTGTGTCATCTTTTGCTCGGGAGTCTGCACAGTGTCACATGGTGTCGGGCTGGATTTTGTGACCCTGCAGAAACGTGAGCTGTCCGCGTTGTGAGTTTAATTCCCCGGAAGGCGCTTTGATGTGCACGTGCTGGTGTTCTGCAGCAGAAAACGGCGATTACACGTAATTATGTTTGCAAACTAACATGAACAGATTCTTGGTGAACATGAAAGCAACGGGAGTTCTGCAAAGCATCGCACAGAAACACGAAGTAAGAAAGACGTCAAGTTTAAACTTATAAAAATGTGAGCGGTGACTCGGTGCTGCCATCGTGTCAAAACCAGAGGAAATTTGTGTCGATGGTGATTAATCTCCACCTTCATGTCCGTTTGTCTGCATCGTGGTCAGAATATGAAGTTTTCTCCACTTCCTTCAGATTCTCACTTAATCTGGAGTAACGGGGATTCGGCAGACGTCTGATTTAAACGTTTTTGAAACATCAGATCAAAATGTTTCATTTGCTGTCCTCCTGAAGTGGAGAGATGAGAGAATCTTGCCTTGGAGTTTCCATGGCAACGCCGCCTGGTACTCTGTGGAGCTGGTGTGTGTGTGTGTGTGTGTGCATGTTCGTTCGGACCTACTTGATGTTTGTTTTCCTACTGATGTAAGACCCGACCATGTTGGTAAACAAAAACACAAACGGGTTTAATAGGTAAACTAGCTTAAAGATGCTAGCTAATGCCACTTGGGTTACTAAACACCTCCACTCATTTTTCTGCCACTTGTTTCTTAGATGCTTGCCTCCACACGTCACCATGGCAACAGCATGCATGCTAACTTCCCTACGAGGGATTCTCTCTCTTCCTCCCTCCCTGCTGCTGTTGCTCTGCCCCTCACCCAGACACGTCCTTCCATGAGATCTGACTAGACTCAAGCTAGAGGTGCTAATCACGTTAGCTGGGATGCTAATCGGTACATGGTAATGGAGTATCGATAATGGACCCATGGGGCTTGCAGTGTGCTGAATTATAATTCTAGGATTGATTTAAGGTTGTTGTTGTTTTTTTTGGTCTAATTTTGCTTTAGAAAATAATTGAGAACCACTGATTTAATGAAACCTTTTTAAAAAGGCTAAAAGCAGGTAAATATGTGATAACAGATAAAGTTTTAGGCCAAAAATCTTCACATTTGAATCCTCCTACTAGAGGATTTAAGCCACCAATATAAAATGGTGAGTTTCAGCAACAAAACGATGAATCGAATCCCAGCTGAGACAAAACAAAGGAGGGTCAAAGCCTCAGCGGGGCGTGGCCGGACTCCCAAAGTCATCCCACCTCATTTACTGCTTCTTCACCTTTTGTTCCTTTTGTTTACTCAAGGAAACTTCAGGCATATATTTGTTTATGTAAACAGATGAAATTGATATAAAAATTAGGTAGGATGGCTACAAGGTGGAAGGGGGGGGGGGGGTGATGTCAGCGATAATGAGTGCACGTTAGCTTGGTCTGGTGGTGACAGAGAAGCTCTTTTAATATTCCTTGTGTGTGTGTGTGTGTTCATTCTCAACCATCACGCTCTGAAAGGCCTGCCTCCGCACTGGCTGCAACACCATGATGTCACCTCCCCTCTGATTGGCCGCAAGGCTGCTGAGAGGAGGAGGAGAGAGGCTGGGAAGTGGAAGAGGGAGGGATAGAAGTCAGAGGAGAGAAAGGAAAATGCCGGCACCAATATGGGTGGAGGGGGGGTTCTCTTTTCGATGGTGACGTGCGTGTGAATTGTGTCCACGGCCCTGGCTGCACTATGAAGTGTGTATGAGATGTGTGGATCTGTTTCGGGGTGCGGATTGGAGAAGAGTGGGGACCCTAAATACCACGCCCTTCCAGAAGCATGAGGCGACTTATCTGCCAGCGGATCTGTGACTGTGAGTGCAGGTGTGTGTGTGTGTGTGTGTGTGTGTGTTTAATTTCCTAGTAGATCTTCTGTGTTTACCTTAACATTTACTCACCAAGACACAGTAGAGCCTCCCAAAGGACTAGATAATCTGGCGTATGCTTGCGCTCACACATGTATCTGAGTTTTTGGTGTGTGTGTGTGTGTGTGTGTGTGTGTGTGTGTGTGTGTGTGTGCGTGTGTGTGTGAGCTGAGCTGATGTATGTGTCAGTGTGCAGGGAGGTGGCTTTAGCGCATTTCTCCATGGCTGGTTGTTGGAGCGATCAGAGCGCAGGTGCATTCCCATGCCTGCCAACAGTTTGATCTCTAGTCGTCTTTGTGTGTGTCCTCGCCTCTTGTGCACCATCGTTGTTCCGAAAGCGTCTCGAGTTTCAGCTTTTCAGCCCGGAACCTTTTCTGCTAACGTGCACTAAAAGAATTTAGCTCCAGAGGGTTCTGGCTGTCACCAGTTGCGTGGTTGGACATACTGAGCAGGCTTTAGAGTGTTAGTTCTTTTACTCTACAACCTCAAAAACACATGTTTAACTCTTTAATTATTACATTTTAAACTGATTAAACATAAAGATCAAAGCTACTCCTGTGCAGATGGTGATGCTGTCTCCTGTCCCGACTCCTCAGATCGTAGTTTTGAAGACAACGACAGCGTGGACGGACGCTCCTCCTCGGGGTTCAAGGTTCCCAAAGTTCCCAAGAAGCCTGCAGAGACGTCTGCCGCACGCCGGCCCAGCGCCACCGGCAGCAAGCTAGGTATCTCATTCATCTTTACTCACACCTAACACCCAGATTCAGTTTGGGTCTTATGGTTTTAAAAAGCTCCAAAGTGGTGTTTTCCATTTTGGTTGTGCTGAAGTTGGTTTACATAACTTGTAGCTTCGGATTTAGTTTGGAGATTCCTGCTAAAGGATCTCTGACAGCAGTGTCGGAATAAAGGCAAACAAATCAAGTCAAACTTTATTTATACAGCACTTAATCCTACAATGCATGTAACTCAAGGTGCTTAACAAATTAAAAAGGCCCTGCGTACCCACATTCCCTCCCATCCCCAGAATTTTAAAACAGTCCGAGAATAAAAATCCTTTCACAACACTCACCCTCCGGCGCGCACACACGCACCCCACCCCACCCTCCCAATGGAAAAAAACACAATAGACGAATGAGTTCAGATGAGCCAGACCAGCTAAGATAAGGAAACGCCATCAGGGGAGCCATCCGCCCCGACAGCAGCAGATCCACAGCAGCAGCCGAGGCACCGACACCCAGGGAGGGAGGGCGGAGACCCCCACCTCCACCCAGGCACACCTGGAAAGCACCCAGGCCGCCACAGCCGACCACCGCCCCCGGGGCAGAGGGCTCCCACAGAGGAAACACTGGAAAAAGGTTAAATTAAGGTTAAAATATGAAATAATAAGAGCTCAAATGAAAATTGTAATATAAAAAGTTATATAGATATTAAAATAATGTTGATCATAAATCTATGGTTTAAAAAAATATATAAAATCAATAAATCAATATATATATATATATATATACATAAAAACTGTTTTAAAAAAAGAATACATAAAATAAATAAATAACCTAACTTATTTCTTTAAAAAGTGATGGTAATCAGTTAAAAGCTAAGCTAAAAAGATGGGTCTTGAGCCTGTTTCTAAAAACATGAACGTTCTCTGCGGCCCTGAGGTCCCCTGGCAGCTCGTTCCAGAGGCGAGGGCCGTAGTACTGGAAGGACGCCTCGCTTCGCAAACACCTGTGTGGATGTGGGTTGGTCTGCAGGTGATCTTTTTACTGCTCCTTGCGGAAGACCACAGAGGAAGGACGAGGTTAAGAACGGGGGAAGTACTGCCACCTACAGGTCTGGCATGTCCTTAACAACGTATTTATCCGGGTACGTGTGGACAGAGTTTTTTTTTTAAACGAGGTGGTGTGGATGCAAGTTTTTGGAGGGGTGGATATTCGTTTTTTAAAAAAAACCCAGCTACGTGTGGACAAGGCCCAAGTCTGGCTCTTAACCCACTGTGGTATCTTCATCCAGATGTCAAAGAAAACGACTCGTCTGGACTTTGCCACGGATTTTTATTGGCAGGGTTCAAACGCTGAGTCAGAGATGTAGCAGAGCATCAGCAGCTCTGGTTACAGAAACAGGAAGTGTCGATGCTGAAGATTTGGTCGTTCTTTTGGAAGGACCTGACGAAAGCACTTCAAACAGGAAAGCTTTTCGTTTTGATCAACTCAATCTTGTTGGTTTTTTTCCATTTGTGGGTTGATTTTCTTGTGCTTTTATAAAACATGCATCCATGATTGTTCTATTGTCTGCATTTAAATGACAGCACACACCCCCACACACACGCGCAGCTTTCACACAGATCAGAAGAACTGTGAGAAAGCCTCAATCTCCTTTTATCCCAGCCTCCTCTCCTCACGTGTGCAGATGCTTTCATGATTTTATTATTCTCTTCCTCTTCGATCGCTCTCACCTCTGCTTCCTGAGTGAGGAGTAGTAGAAAGTGTGACCCACCAGACCCAGAGACATGTGACTGACGCTCATCAGAAACCCCACTAGCATCGTTATCCGCCACCTATGACTTGGTGTTTCTAAGCAAGCTTTAAAATTCAGTTTAGATGTTCTTTGCCTTTATTTAAATTTTTTTTTTTCATGTTAGCCTTTTTTAAGTTATATTTGTTTTGATATCTCAGCTAGGGTCGTCACGGTGTGAAAATGTAACCTCACGGTTATTGTGACCAAAATTATCACGGTTTTCGGTATTGTTGCGGTATTTTTTAAAAAGTGTTACATTTTCAGACAACTACATAAACCCTGTATATCAGGAAAATATTGTCCTCAGTTTGTGTCTAAATTTTGTCTAAAATGTGTTATTTTGTAATTATGTTGTTTATTTGTTTACATTTTTCCCCTTTAGTCTTTAAAATAGCAATATTTGCCCATAACTTCTTATTTTTTGTCTGTTGTCATCATTTTAAAAATATTAGATCAGATGATACTGTCATGACTCTCAATCCTTCACCCTCCTCAGCCTTCATGCAGCACACCTGGTCTCATCATTAAGCCCCAGCCAAGCCCTGTTTCCCTGACTACCACAGTCAGCTTCATCCACTTCACCTGCTCCTGACTCCTCAGCTCATCTCACACACCTGCTTCCCCTACTATATATTCACCAGTAAACCACCAGTTCCCTGCCACATTATTTACAGCCCTGCCAGTAAATTCTCCAGCGATTCACCCTGCCTGATTTCTGCCTCCGGGCCTTGTTTTTCTCCTGACCCCTGTCTTGCACGCTGCCTGCCATTTCGACCTTCGCCTGTCCCCGACTCTGTCTCTGCTGCAAATAAAGACTTTTTTTTAATCTATTTTTATTGTGTTTGGCGTCTTCACGGGTCTTCCTAGTTCAGCTCATGACAGATACTCAGTACTCAAGTAGCCTTCTAATCAGATACTTTTTTACCCTTACTTGAGTAATAATCCCTATATCAGGAAAATATCATCCTCGGTTTGGGTCCTTCCAGTGAGCTTTGCAGATGTGAGAAAATGTCATCAGGCAGTAATCGTTGTTAAATTCATAATTATTCTCGGAGAGAGACCAACTCTTATCTGCCCCTGGGAGCCCCGTAATGCATAGCGTCATTTCAACATGGCGGTGTCCGCGACACGGTTTATATGCAGGTAGCGGCGCTGCGGCTGCTTTATATAGCGACTCGTTGCATTCTCCCTCAACCCAAATCCTCGGATCACGCATTTTAGCTAAAACGCTAACGTTAGCTTGCCTTGCGTTGACTGTAGAGTTGTGGGTGATGGTCACGCAGATGTGTCATGAGATTTGAAGCGTTGCTGCCTTTCACAGACTCTTTTTCTGCACGTGCTGCAAACAGGATAGCCGTCTTCTATAAACTGTCCCTCGGCATTCTTCAAATATCCAAAACATGCCCGTACTCCCCACTTTGTCTTCTTTGAGGGATAATAAATGTCCTGAGTGCTGCCGTCTCCTCCTTTGGCCATTATTTCAGCTTTAGCCTCAATAAAGTATTGTTGTAAACAACAAAGTGCGCATGTGCCGCCGGCAACTTCAGCAGATGATACGGTGGCTGGTAAGGGTCACCGCGCCTACACCGCAGCCACGGTAATCCACCGAGATAATATATTTTCTAAAAACAAGACGTTATTATTATTGTCAACATTATTACCGCTACACTGGTTACCGTGACAACCCTAATCTCTGCTATGAAGTCCTGATGGATTAAAGTTGGCTGAGAGAGTTGATGGATTAATGGACTCTTTTCTTTTTAGTTTCCAAGGAAAGTGCTGGAGCTGTGGACGAGGAGGACTTTATTAAAGCTTTTACGGATGTCCCTACTGTGCAGGTGCAGCACCTTTCTAAGCTCGTCCCCCGTTGGTGACACTGCTCCCTCTCATCTCTCCTGTTTTCTGGCTTTTGCAGATTTACTCAACACGAGACCTTGAAGACAACCTTAATAAGATTCGTGAGATTTGCTCTGACGACAAACACGACTGGGACCAGAGATGCAACGCTGTCCGTGGATTCTCTTTTGTTTCTGCTTCAGTTGCCTTCCCACTGCAGTTCCCTTTAGGAATGCTTTTTGTGTTTTTGTTTCTACAGCTGAAGAAAATCCGCTCCCTGCTGGTGGCGGGCGCAGCCGGCTACGACTGTTTTTACCAGCATCTACGGCTTCTTGACGGAGCTTTTAAACTGTCTGCTAAGGACCTGCGCTCACAAGTGGTCCGAGAAGCCTGCATCACTGTGGCGTGAGTGGTCTGATCACAGATACTTGGATTAAATCGACTTATAGTTTCTGTTTTTGTGCCTTTTGACACCTGTTTTCTGTCTCTCAGCCACCTCTCGTCGGTTCTGGCAAATAAATTTGACCACGGAGCAGAAGCAATTGTGCCTGTTCTGTTCAACCTCATCCCAAACTGTGCCAAAGTTATGGCGACCTCTGGTGTCTCAGCTATCCGCATTATTATACGAGTGAGTCCATCGTGAAACGTAAAGGGTTATTCCACCCCTAAGTGAGTTTTAGTACGCTGCCGTATTCCCCAGAGTTAGATAAGTGAGAAAAAGCATTTTATAACCAGCTTAAACACTGTCCTGCGGTGGCAGCGGTTCGTTAGCTTTAGCTTAGCATAAACATTGTAAGTGAATGGTAAAAGCTAGCATTTGGTGTGAAAGTCATACAAATGACTCAATAATGATCCAAATTTTCTTTGGGCCTCACTAATCATATAATTTTGTAAAGGCCTCGGAGAAACGGTTTTGTTCTGAGAATAGCAGAGTTTGCATGTCGTGAGATGATACATACCACATTAAGGCCTAGTCCACATGTAGCCAGGTTTTTTTTTTTTTAAACGAATATCCGCCCCTCCAAAAACTTGCATCCGCACCACCTCAATTTAAAAAAACAACTCTGTCCACACGTACCCGGATAAATACGTTGTTAAGGACATGCCAGACCTGTAGGCGGCAGTACTTCCCCCGTTCTTAACCTCGTCCTTCGTCTGTGATCTTCCGCAAAGGAGCAGTAATTCCGCTTGCAAAAACAAACAAGCAAAAAGCGCTTGGACAATTGATAAAGCGAGCGCAGCTCTGAGGGCATCCATGATGTCGGCTAGTGTAAACACAGGTCGCACGCGTGATGTCAGCATTTTTTTGTCGCGGAAAGTGACGTTGCGGACCTTAAAACTCCGGTTTTGTCTGTCCACACGCAGACACCCAAAACGGAGAAAACGCAGATCTTCACTTTGGCCGGAGTTTTTTAAAAGATCCGTTTTCGTGTGGATGACAGGCCAAAACGTAGAAAAATATCTACGTTTTGGCAGATCCCCGGCTACGTGTGGACAGGGCCTAAAATAGCATGTTCTAACCCACTTTAAAGTTGGCAACGTGTAAACGTTGGTGGCAGTGATGCTAACTGCAGCACAATGTTAGCCTGAGCTACTGCAAATGCTAGCCCAAGCTACTGTTAACCCAAGCCCAAGCTACTGTTAACCCAAGCCCAAGCTACTGCTAATGCTAGCTCAAGCTACTGCTAATACTAGCCTGACATACTGCTAGTGCTAGCCTGAGTTACTGCTAGCCCGTGCTGCTGCTAATGTCCTTGTTAGAAAAAGGAAAACAACAAAGAAGAATGTTGCAGTGCTCGGGTAGTGCTCACGGATGTTCTAGGAATATCTATATTTTGAATAGATAGATAGATAGATAGATAGATCTATCCAAAGCTTTCCTACTGAGTTATCTGGATACTCACACATCTGTACACCAAGTTTAACGCGTCATGGAGCATCATAGTTAGAGGAATAAGCCAGCCAATCAGCAAGCAACTCATTCGATATTCATGTCCTGGCTGAGTGGGCGGAGTTGAATTGTCTTTTAAATGTAGGTCTATATTATGGTGTTGTGTTTGGTGACTGATCAGGGCTCCTGGGCCAACAAAGTTTCATACGTTCCATATAAAAACATCAGACCACTTTCCAAATGTAATCCAACAAAAGTTGTTCTAGGACCCCTTTAAATTTCCATATTCACATAAAGTCACTGCTACCTGTCCCTCTGCAGCACACCCACGTCCCCAGACTGATTCCCCTCATCACCAGTAATTGCACATCCAAGTCTGTAGCAGTAAGAAGGTGAGTAAAACCAATGGTACTGCCATGAAAATAGCTTTGCGTGTATATGAACAGGTCATTAATGGATCAAGAATGACTGAATTATAAGATCGCTGTGATTTCCAGACGCTGTTATGATTTCTTGGACCTCCTGCTACAAGAATGGCAAACCCACTCGTTAGAAAGGTGAGGACATATTAACATGAATCTCATAAACACAACAAATCGGAACCATTTTGGGAGATTTTGTTGGAGACGAATATGGAAAAGATCAGTAGATTGATCACAAACATTTTGTTGCTTAACACCTGTGTCATACATGACCAAAACCCAGTTAATCAGATGCTAAACTTCTAATGATAAATGGTTTCCAGTCAGGATCATCTATATTATCAGTAGAAGCTCTTTAGTGTGGAGTCTTTTAAAGGTTAACACACACACACACACACACACACACACACACACACACACACACACACACACACACACACACACACACACACACACACACACACACACACACACACACACACACGTTAAACAATGTGTTTTAACTCCATCTGTTTCAGGCACACGGCAGTTTTGGTTGAAAGTATTAAAAAGGGAATCAGAGATGCTGACTCAGAGGCTAGAGTGGAGGCCCGCAAGTACGACACACACACACACACACCACACACACACACACACTTTTCTGAAAATGTGAATATTTGTTATTTTCTCACTCTCTAAGAGCCTACTGGGGTCTGAGGAACCACTTCCCAGCAGACGCCGACGCTCTTTACAACTCCTTGGAGTCGTCCTACCAGCGGACGCTGCAGTCCTGCCTGAAGAGCTCCGGGAGCGTGGCCTCTCTTCCCCAGAGCGATCGCTCCTCATCTTCGTCTCAGGAGAGCCTGAAGTAACGAACGCTCCACACTTCTGCTTCATGACTTTGTTTAAACTTCCTAACTCACCAGAACTCGTCAGTCTTCAGGCTAAAGCAGTTTCAGATGGAAACCTTGAGATGAGACATTGTTTTTGCATCTCCCTCTTTTGTAAGGGTTCTCTGGCATAAACTTTAAGTTACTTGGTGGAGTTTCAGGGTTGTTTCCATGACAACGTCAGTTTAGAGATGGCGCATTTGATTGTTTGCATGCACTGACCCCAGTTTTCTCTTTTATCAGCCGTCCTCTGTCTTCCAAATGGTCAGCAAATCCAGGGCGAGGTGAGTCTTACACACACACACACACACACACACACACCGAGAGAAATGTCATCATCTATGAAGTCATTACCCAGCATTCTCATTGACATCTTGTGTTTTACGTGTTACTGCGCACACGTCTGGTTCGATGTGGGTGTTGTAGTTTGTTACCTGCACGTGTTTGTGATTTATTTTATATGTATCCCATCACCTCCCATCCTTCTCCCAACACGCTCCTCCTCCTCCTCCTCCTCCCATCAGTCACTGCCGGTTCAAAGGCTGGGATGACGCCAGTCTCCCTGCAGCGTTCCCGCAGCGACGTAGACGTAAACGCAGCAGCCCTAGCTAAACGCCGGCACGTCGGACAGGCTGGGGGAGCGGGCCGTCTGCCCCCCGGCTCCTACTCCTCTCTGGGTAAGCCCCCCTCCCCCAAGGCCCCTTTATCAGACAAAGCAGAAAGTCTTCCCAGATCTCTGACGGCGTCGAAGATGACCTCTCCTCCCTCTTCCCCTCCTGCTGCCTGCTCATGCCTGTTTTTACCGCCCTGTCTCTCTTCATCTGCATGTTTCTCTCTTAAACAGTCGGTATGTGACTAATGCACTTTGTGCTCCTTTCTTCTCTTGTTTCTCTTTCTGCTTTTTTCTCGCACTCCTCCCCTTTTTGTTTACAACCCATCCTCTTTTATTTTCCTTTTTTCTTTTTTCTACTTTGAATCTGTTGTTTCCTCCGTTTTGTTCTCTCTCTGCTACTTAAGATGATGCCTCTGATAAAACGGATGGTAAGATCATCCCACTCCGCTTCCTGTTTCCTCTCCCCATCCTCACTTGTGAACTAAACTCGCTCATTGTGACGGTGTGTGGTCACAGCGCCCCCTGCAGTTGCCATCCATTACTACCAGCTTTAACCCTTTACCTCCGGGTGGTGTTGTGTTAAACTGCTGTGTTGTACCTGAAGCATCACGTTTACAGCCCGCTCCTTCTTTATCTGTCTGTAGGATCCAGGTCAGACAACGGTAAGGTTGTTGTCAGGTGCTTGTTGTTTCATCTGTTTTAGGGATGTTCTAGTTGGAAAAACAACACCTGATGATTTAAAATCACGTTTTACGAGGCAGGTTGCATCTTAAGTTGAGTCTAATGCTGTCGAGGTGGGAAAGGAAACGTCAAATAATCAAAATAAGTCAGATTCTTTGACGCAGCAGGTGGCATTTTAAAATTTAGGTGTTTTTGTTGACTAACTGTAACATCCCTGCTGTAATGATGTGTTTGCACCTGGCTGAGTGTGAATATTCAGCTTTAGAAGCTCCTGTAGTGCTTTTTGGTTTGAGTTGCAGGACGTTTGTGATTCGATGCACCACAACAGGAAGTTAAATTCCTTGTTTGCGTTCTTACGGCATCCTTTCGCCCACGTGCAGGCCGCGTTCGCGCCAAGCAGCCTTTGACGACAGCCAGCAGCATCTCCAGCCAGGTGGACTCACGAGGACGCAGCCGCACCAAGATGGTGTCCCAGTCTCAACGTAAGTATAAAAACTCTGAGAGGGGAGACGTTCTGCCTATTCCAGCTGAAGTGGTGTGTGTGTGTGTGTGTGTGTGTGTGTGTGAGGGGTTTCTCTGGAGTCTCTCACCTTGTTGCCGCCGTGGTAACGATACGCTCCGTGTGGATGTTTTTGTGCCTTCAGGTTCCGACGAATCCGATTGCACACCAGGTATTCTGTCTGTTTGTCATCCTGTGTACCACAGTGGGATGGGTGGCCCACATGCTGCTTTCATTTTGGTCAAGGTGGTGTGTGTGTGTGTGTGTGTGTGTGTGTGTGTGTGTGTGTGTGTGTGTGTGTGTGTGTGTGTGTGTGTGTGTGTGTGTGTGTGTGTGCGTGTGCGCGTGCGCGTGTGTGTGTGTGTGTGTGTGTGTTTGCATGCTGTGTTTCATCACTGAGGGTGGTGCAGTGACCATGTAATTTCTTCTGCTCCAGCTTGGCTCTGGCTGATTTTACAAAACAACAAACCTAAAGCAAATCACACACACACACACATGCACGCACGCACGCATGTGCTCGCACGCCCACACAGATACACAAACCTTCACATAAACGCACATCAATGTGCACATACACACATCTCAAAATACACACACACACCTACAGGTACACATACACACACACATTCACACACCAACACATCTTTAAACACTTATACACACATAAACAAACACACACACAAGCTCTTTGATCAGAAGTTCAGGAAACCCAGAAGATGATATGTGTGTGTGTGTGTGTGTGGGTCCTAGTGTGTGTGTGTGTGTGTGTGTGTGTGTGTGTGTGTGTGTGTGTGTGTCGGGGTCCTAGTGTGTGTGTGTGTGTGTGTGTGTGGGGGGGGGTCCTAGTGTGTGTGTGTGTCTGTGTGTGTGTGTGTGGGTCCGAGTGTGTGTGTGTGTGTGTGTGTGTATCCGAGTGTGTGTGTGTGTGTGTGTGTGTGTGTGTGTGTGTATCCGAGTGTGTGTGTGTGTGTGTGTGGATCTGAGTGTGTGTGTGTGTGTGTGTATCCGAGTGTGTGTGTGTGTGTATCTGAGTGTGTGTGTGTGTGGATCTGAGTGTGTGTCTGTGTGTGGATCTGAGTGTGTGTCTGTGTGTGTATGTGTGAGTGTGTGTATGTGTGTGTGTGTGGATCCGAGTGTGTGTGTGTGTGTGGGTCGAGTGTGTGTATGTGTGTGTGTGTGGGTCGAGTGTGTGTATGTGTGTGTGTGTGGGTCCGAGTGTGTGTGTGTGTGGGGACAGTTTTTCACCGTTTTCCTTTAAACACATTATTTTCCTCATTGTGAACAGGTTTGCCGTACCCAACATGCACCGCTTCCCCCCAGCTTATTTGTCTCTTTCACCAGTAAATCTATTCACGCGTGTTTTAGCTACGCCAGGGTGCACCCCCATCAAATGCTGTCCTCCAACTCCCATGATGCCTTTTGCGTTTACCCATAATGCATCTGGTTTAATCTGCTGTTCCTTCCCCATTACTTCTGCTTCCCCACCCTCCTCTCCACCAACGGGCTTAATGCCTCAGGATCTCAGTCTGCTAACACTGTTGGTGGTAAGATCACAGCGCTGCATGTTCCTTCACTTCATAGTCGTGACGTGTTAGCAGAGTCATCAGTCGTGCTGACGGAGGAAATGATACAGCCACATCACCGCGTAGCTTCTCAATCAGGGAACACGCGGCTTATTCTGTCACGTCATCTTTTATGCGTCGCTGACAGCGACCTCATTGGTTGAATTAAACCGCGTGACATTAGTTAACAGAAGATAACCCATAAGTATTTACAATATAAACATGCGAAGATAAAGATATACATACAGAGATAAAACAAACATAATAATGTAATAGAAGTCAACATTAAATCATGATCTTTTGTAGATCTCAGCTCTTAACATGACGCCTTTTATTTATTTATTTATTTATTTATTTATTTCCCAGCTTTTCTTTTCTTTTTGCGTGCACATAGAAACACCCTTAAAGCTCTCAGTGTGGCAAAGGCATGCTGGGATATGTAGTTAGAAGCTTTTTACTTAATTCTGCACGCATGTTGTGTGCCTGGGTTTGTTTAACTTTGTGAAGGATGCTAAATACAAAATAAGCCTCGAGAATCAGAAAGTTGTTTAATTATTATTATTTTTGAATAAAATTCATTTTTGCACCTTGAAAGTTCTTACATCAGATGGGTTATAAATGAAGACATCTACAGGCCACACACTGTGCAGATGGCCCCGTCTTTAGGATCTACCTTCGACTGAAGACTCGTAGCGCTAGCACTTAGACGAGTCACCTGTGTTGTGTGTTTGTGTGGGTTCAGGTGAGTGTTTGTGAGTCGCTGTGAGAGAACGAGACTCGTCCGTGTGCACGTCGTCCGTCCCGATAAGACCCGTTTTGATTGAGCACCAGAGCTCATTTCATCTATTCTCACATGTCTCGTCTAGCTCTGTAGATCTAGTACGTGTCGTCCGTTTGTGTCTGGAGTTGTAGAAACGTACGTCACTAGATAAACTAGAGCAGACGGGGTTTTGGGTTGTTTTCGTTTTGTTAGAATTTGTTTAAAAAGTGAATTTAGGAAGATTTAGCACTGAAAAAACAAGAAAATTGGCCAATCAGCACACATTCGTGTTTGTTACCAGTCAGAAAACCAGAATAACCCTGAGTGTTGGGGGGGGGGGGGGTTAAAGTGAAGAGGTGGGTCCGGTTCTACAGCTTTCCCGGTTCTGACTCCCGTCTTCTTTGTTTTCTCCTCTCTGAAGCCGGCAGTCGGAGCGGCTCTCCGGGACGAGTGCTGACGACGACGGCGCTGAGCACCATGAGCTCCGGGACCCACAGGGTTCTGGGTGGGACCGCCGGGGACGGACGCAGACGCAGCCGCATTCCCCGCAGCCAGGGCTGCTCCAGAGACTCCTCGCCCACTCGCCTGTCTGTCGGTGGGTTTCTAAAGCGTTCTCCTCCAGAGTTTTGTTGCGTTTTGGCGTCTCCAAACGGAGGTCGTTCCTGACCCGTCCGGTGATTCAGCTGGGATAAACCGGGCTCAGATTGTTGATCTCCCTCTCCTTATTCTGGTGCTTCCTCTAGCTCCTTCTAGCCTTAGTTCCAACTACAATGGCGCAAGCAGAGGAGGTAAGGGTCCTACACAGATCAAACCACCTCCATCCGTCTTCCCTCCTCCTTTTCTATCCATCAATACAAAACCAGAAATCCCATCCCCTCCGCCATGCCTGCTGCCTCGGCTTCGTAGGTCCCTCATCTTTCTGAATTGCCTGATTTCATGGCCGTGTTGTTATGGTGACGGGTGCCCGAGATCAGCTGATTTTTTTTTTTTCTTCCTCCACGCTTTGTGGACACACGCAGCCTCTGAGCGTACTAACCTGTCGTTAGCGGCCGAGAAACGAGCCTTCTCACAGGATCGGCGAACACGTCGCCACTCTGGATGGCTGCGGCTGAACTAAGCAATGAAGCATAAAGATGATTGCATCCCTGCCCCCACACTCCCCTCACCCGCCATCATCTCTGATGAATCAACTCTGTCTGTCTGTGTGTGTCTGTGTGTGTGTGGGTGAGGATAAAAACGTCTTTAGTTGTTTTGTCCAGCTGATTTTCGGCTCGGTAAAGGCGCATCTCATCTAAAACGGAGAGTAAAATACCAGGATGTAAGCTTTCAGGGCAACTCTCCCCGTTTATGTTGAGATGCTCCTTCACGACCAGGAGACTCAGTTTGTCAACTTGTCTTCACTCCTCCGTCTCTGTTCCGTAAATCCTCTCAATTCCTTTCTTTTCTGCAACTTGTCTTCTTTTCCCTGTTCTCCTTTCCCGCCCCCACCACCTGCGATTGCCGCGTACGGCCGGGTGGCGTTAGCTCGAGGCAGCCGTATCCCTCGGCCCAGTATGAGTCAGGGCTGCAGCAGGGAGGCCAGCCGGGAGAGCAGCCGGGACACCAGCCCCGTTCGCTCCTTCACACCTCTGGGTGAGTAGCTCCAGTGGGCAGATTCCCGCCAGCAGAGTCGGACAAAAATGCTTTAGATTCAGTTTAATCACAGGAAAACTTAGCAGCTCACCTGTTTGGAAGTGTTTTCCTGCTTTTCTCTCCATTTTCACCTGAAGTTCCTGTGTTGTCGTGTGAGTGTGTGTTAAACTCTGCGTGTGTGTGTGTGTGTGTTTTAATCTTGATTACAGCGACACGGAGCTACTCCCGCTCCACTGGAGCTCTCCACACACCTGATGCATTTGGTGCTGCAGGTGAAGGCTGAGTACACCTACCTCTTCATACCTCACCCACCTCCTCGGACCGATTGGTTTTTCTTTGGCTCATTTTGTTCTTTTCAGTGCCAGTCACCCTCTTTCTATTACCAGCTTGTTTTCTCGTCCATCAGCCTCAGTTTATGCTCTTTTCTTTTTTTTTTTGTGCTCCAGGATGTCGAACCCTCCAGGGGAATTGCATGCTTCCGCCTGTTTTTGTTGCCAGTTAATAACTTCTTCCAGTTTGATCTGTTCATCCTTCATTTAGCTGGAACGTCGTCTGGTGTTTTTGTTTTTTCTTATGTCATCCCGTCTCCTCCCCCCCCAGTGGCGACCATATTGTCACCTAACAAGTCATCATATTAACTTACAGGATTGCTTCCTGGGGAAATGTGGTAATGTTGAGTTTTCCGGTTTTGACTTTTTTTTGCCATGTTTCCCTCCGTCTCCAGGGTCAGGCTTCGGCATCAGTCAGTCCAGTCGTCTCTCCTCTTCGGTCAGCGCCATGAGGGTCCTCAACACCGGCTCAGACGTAGAAGAAGCTCTGGCAGACGCTCTGGTATGGAAAACTGAGCTTTCACACAAACAGAAAACACCCCAACAGTTAGAAACTCAACACATTTCCAGTAATCGTACACAGTCTTAGTTTAGGTCTGCATGAAAACTAACCCCTGGTTCTACCTCTTGTTTAATGCTATCAGCTGTTGGGAGACATGAGATCTAAGGTCAGCTTCTTCTCCTGGCTCTCACCCGTGTGTGGGTTTTGGTGCCTAGCGGGGATCTGTATTTGGGTGTTGCCTGTGCCTTTTACCACGTTCCCTTTCTGAACCACAGAAGAAGCCAGCGCGGCGGCGGTATGAGAACTACAGCATGTATTCAGACGACGATGCTAACAGCGATGCGTCCAGCGCCTGTTCAGAGAGGTCCTACAGCTCCAGGAACGGAGGAGCCATCCCCACCTACATGAGGCAGACGGAGGACGTGGCCGAGGTTGGCAACAGGAGACGAGTCTCCATGTGAAGCAGCAGAATAGCCTAAATATGCTAAAGGTGTTGGAGTGAAGTGAAAAATGATCCATCGAAGGGGAAATTAGTGGCGTTTCTGCGGGAGTGTTATCATAATGCAAATAACTAAGTTTAAAGGTGCAATAAGTACAGCGAAATAATCACCAAAACCTTTAATGTCTCATTCATGTTGGAAGGACGGCCATACTGAAGCAGTTTTCATTCTCAGCCAATGGGGTGTCAGTTTTTCTCCTTTTAAAAAGGCCAAAGAGGGATGTCGTTACCGTTTACGGTCTGTCCCGCCTCCATACTTCCTGGTTTGAGAGCCAATCATATGTGAGCCCGCAACACAAACACTGTGCTAGCATTTGTAATTTGTCACCGGCTGGCAAACCGTAGTAGAAGATCCCACAGGCTCAAAATGAAACTATTTTTGTTTTACTCTCGTATTGGGTAAAGAAGGCTAGAGGCTAATGTTGAGCTAACAATGCTAACAGTAAATTAGAAGCAAATGGTTGGCTATTAAAAATCTCAAGCCTATTTTTTTTATTACCAACAAGTGAATGATGAGCCAATCATGGCGTTTTACTTCCATTAATGAGTCTTTAAGGACTATAACAGCAAGACGGTGTCGGTACAGGATCTGCTCGAGTGCAAGATCGGCTCTGGGTCCTTCGACTGCCGATGACGTCAAAGTACGGCAAGCCCACTCGGACAAAATACACTACACATCTTTATACTGTTGGAAAGAATTTAGCAGTTTCGTTATTAAAATAATGTTTCTTAAGACGTAAGTTTGTGTTTATAATGGTATTTGTAAAATAAAACACTATATTGTGTACATAATGTTGAACTCCTCTTTGAGCACATCCCTTGAAGGATCATAGGTATTAGCAACACCTGTGAAATTGTATTTGCAGGAAAGAAGTGTGTCCCGTTTATTGAAGTATTTTGTGTTTACTTTTTGACGTCTTGTCCATGCGTAGTTCAGTTACGCTCATAGCTGCTAGCCAAAACTCTGGAGTTAAAAGTTTTCTGGCTTTACTAAAATACATGTCTGTACTTATTTGATTGATGGTATTTTTACTTTCTATTAGACTCCAAATGTAATCATTTGGCACGTTTCTAATTCATAATTTGTAAGAATGTAATCGGTGATATTAGCATTAGCATTCCTATGGGTTTTTCTATGTATATTAGCATTGCGCTAACCACTCGCTGCCAAATTGCAGCCTTTGCGATTAGAAAATCTCCTTTTGTCACATCGCAATTTAATTGCACATGCAATTAATCGTTCAGCCCTAATATACATGCAGCTCTATGCTAAAAGTGTATTTTCAAAGAGGTAATGATGGGTTTCTTTGTAAAAGTTGTCCATCTTTCCAACAGAAAGATTTGCCTGGACCAACGTAACGTGATAACAACGTAACGTGATTACGTAATTCCGTAAGGTTCATGTTCAGCCAATCAACTACTTTGACGTCATCGGCAGTCGAAGGACCCCGAGCCGATCTTGCATCCGAGCAGATCTTGTACCGACACCGGCAAACAACCACACTTCCCCTAATGTCAGAGGAATATTACCGTAATAAGGGTAGTAAGTGCTCCCTACCGAAAAACAGCCCAAAATGCTAACACCAGATATGACGATGTATTTTGTCTACTGAGCATCTTACCATGTATGACTCATCTTGGATTGCTTCTGGCACTGATCCGTAACTGGTACCAACATTGGACCACAGGGTGTCATTATTACCTCATGCACCTTTTAAACTCCTGTACCTTAGAAGTCTTTATGCCTGTTGAGTTTTCTTGTGTTTATGGTGGTTTTAAGGTGCTCAACCGCTGCGCCAGTGCCAACTGGTCAGAGAGGAAGGAGGGTTTATTAGGCCTACAAGCTCTGCTGAAGAGCCAGCGCACACTCAGGTCAGAACACACATGTGTGTTTTCTAGAGAGAACGCACAGCAGATTCTTAAACCTAAAATATCCCTTTGTTCTTCTTCCTGTCAGTCGAGTAGAGTTAAAGAGGCTGTGTGAGATCTTCACCAGGATGTTTGCAGACCCTCACAGTAAGGTATGAATGCATGTAGCCCAATATTCACACACCACACACACACTCACACACACAATACCATAACACCAAATTCATCATTCCCCTACTTCTTATTTTCTTTATTTTAACTTTGTTTATCCCATCATCCTTCACTGTACCGGATTCTGCAAAAACACAGATGTGTACGACCTTTTATCTTACACACACACACACACACACACACACACACAACCTCGTTAAGCACAATAATTAACGACGTCAGAGTAAAATGGGGGATAAACTGGCCAGAATATGTTGACACATGTGGATTTACACACGTTTACAGAAACACGGCATGCTGAGTGTGTAAAGCCCCGGCTGTCTAACAGCATGCCACGCCTGAGTTTGCGTGAGATCTCACGTTCTCCGCCGCCCTGTGGGATTGCTCTGTCACCGTTCAGCTCTCTGCATCCACTTCCCTCTCTTTCCCTCCCAACGACACTCACCCCACACACACTCAGATGCTCTGAAACACACACACACACTTACACGTAACTGGGCTGCCAGCTCTTTTCTCTCACTAACCAGCTGTGGCTCGCCCTTTTCTAACACTTCCACTGGCACCACGAGTGCCCCGTAGCCTCACACGTGGCGTACAGTGTGTGGATTTTCCTCTTTTCCATTCGTTTGATGTTTGACGGTTTGATGAATTTCAGCGAGACTCCGGCAGGGTGTACGGCACCGCAGAATCCGGTATAAGCTCAGCCTCCTTCAAGGTACCGCATCTCACCATGGATCTGTCCCCTGACCTCACCCCTCTGCTCCTACCTCCTCTTTTATTTTCCATGTCATTGATTTCACTTATTTGTTGCTAATGTACACAAAACAACCTGTCAGATGTTTGTGATGTGATGCACCTGTTGTGGAAGTCCAGATGGGTTTACTCTGACTCTGTTAGGATGCTAACGGATGTGTTTCTCTCCTCCCCCGCCCCCACGCCACCCTACTGTGGGACTCTCTGTAGAGAGTAAGTTTAGCCAATCCTCTTGTGTTTGTTTTTGGATGAAAATCTGCTTCATTAATCTGATTGGGAATCAGTTACCAAGGCAACTGCATAATCCCCCCACTAACCTGTCTCATGTAAACAGTGCCTCACTGCTCTGCTCCAATCAGCTGCTGGCACATAGAGATGTTTACCTCTGGGTCCTAATGCTCATCGAGTTAAACGCCTCGTTCTAATTTTGACATGTTTGGTGTAATTTTGGGTGTTTTAAGTGGAAATGGTGTTTGGGACTGAAGATGATTACCACTAACCTCACAAAGGGGACTAATGCTGTTCTGACATCTCCTATTAGAGCTGCACGATTGTCAGGGACCGAGCAGTAAAACTCCAGGACAATGGTATAAAAAGAATATCTTCTCCATGTATTTCATAAATAATTAACCAAAATCAAAACAAAAGCGGGCCCAAAGGAAAAAATGGCCACAAAAATAACCTTAACTAAAAGTAACAAGCAAGACTCACCAAAACTGAGACACACAGGGGAATTTATACACACAGGCTAGCCTACAGACAACGAGGAGGGGAGAGACCGGGGAAACACGAAGACAAACAGTAAATAAACCTAGGAACTAAGTCAACAAAGTATAACTACCACAAAAAGTTTAACTAATACATCCTAACAAAATCTGGTAAACTCAATTAGAGCTTCAGAACGTCTGGTTTCTGGTTTCTTCATGATCAAGTCCCCTGCTTCCAGGAGCCAGATGGGATGTTCCACTTCCTGCCTGGAGTTACACTGGGCGTGTCCCCTCTCTCCGCCAGTTCATCCGATCTCAGAATACAAATGAAAATAGTTAATGATCACATAAACTGTGTATAAGATAAATTACTAAATGTGTGCACCCATTAGTAAACATCTTACAATATTACAACAAAATGAAATAAACCAGTGTGTGGGAAAAAATATTTAAATAATACTAACACTGAGAAATGGCTGGAGGAACCTCCACAACGATGTTACGACACCGCAACATACGTCTGCGTGCATTAAGGGTACCCGGCGCGCAGCAATCCACCTACCACAATAGTTCTTTTGGAAATATGCAGAAGCAGTCTCCGAGGGGGGGTAGGGTTCATCATAAAACCCACTCCCCTCAAGTGAAATTAGGTCATTTTGCAAATCTCGTTCATTTGACCTGTCAATCAACCTTTTTGGCCTATTGGCCAATATTTAAGGCTTGGGCCAAAAAGCGGGGTTACCCTTCATCTGCTGGGTCAGGGAAGATGTTGAAGTTAATATAAGGACGCTAACAGAGGTTATGATGAAGACTTTGTAAAAAAAAAAAAAAAAGAGGAGGACATTTAGAATTTTTCCAGCAGTGAATTGTGTTTGTGGACTATTTCAGTGAAGGACATTAATGGACACTTATGGATGTAAAAAGTCAGAACAGAACCATCTCAACCAAAGCTATCAATGAGGTTGGACATTAGCATTCCTGAGTGGTTTGACAAAAGTGTTTAGCATGTCTATAGTTATGATCATACCATACTGCAGAAAACACAGATTTGACCCAGAAAATCATAATTGGCCGTCTGCAGTAGGGGTGGGCAATAGAAACGATATAAGTGTTGAGGGTCTGACCTCATGAGGAAATTACTATGCAGTGATTTTCTCCAAAATGACTGTGCTTAAATTGCTCTGAAAAGCAAATAATCACATCAGCGCCAAGAAACTTCATTTCCCATGATGCTTTGCACACGGAAGCATTGGGATGATGTCACCGCCTAATACCAGAAACACGTTCTGCGCATGTGCGGGAGGCGGGAGCTTGAAGCTTTCCCGCGACTTCAAAGACTATAAATCATGAATGAGACAAAGAAACCTCGTTCTTTTGCCCAGGATACCTGGCGGTAAGGACACGCTTATCGAACGCTCCGATTCCCTTGAGCACGCGGAAGCTCTAAGTGCCAAGTTGAGCCCACGGAACTGCTGGAAACTAAACTGCAAGCCCATCAGATCTGCTCGTTTCTGCTCCCCTCCAGCTGATGTTTGAGGACACAGAACTGCGGAGGGAAACAACAACTCCATCCAGCTCTCAGGAACGCTGTAAGTTATAACTCAGCACAGAAAGAAACTTTGCTGTCTCTGTCCAGCCCGTGGAGAAACACTCGTGAACGCCAAACAACGGAGAAAGCATCAAACCGACGGATGACGCCGGAAACTGCGGAGAAAAACGGAGAACCGTCAAGTCATAACAGCGGGGGACGCCTTGCTGCTTTGGTGATCAGGAAACTCATTTTTTTCTCTCCTTTTCTTCTCCCGTTTCCTCTATAGTCTCAAATAAGCAATAAACCGCGTCTATTGCTTAAAAAGTAGCTTCGTGTTTTCCTCTTTCGTCCCAAACACGTCCGTCGGGTCATTTTGAAAGAATAAACTGCTTATTAATCATTGTTTGGTATCTTAAAATGGTTTCTGTCATGGCCAGGCTGAAACTAAAAGATATTAATTTGTGATTAATCTTTTGTGTTGTTTCATGATCTTTTGAAATGTTTTGAGTGATTTAAGGTTAAGTTACTACTGATTCTAAGTGCTTTGGAAGTTAAAGTGCAAGTTGCCACCCACACTTTAGCCAGACAAAGGGGTCAGCCATCTTGTATTCAAGACTCCATTTTGAATCCATACACACGCACACACACACACACATACACACTACTCCTTTGTGAGAACAAAGGACCCCATTCATACATCCTCCATCACATGCAAACACATCCATCTTCAATCATATCACACGGTTATTATTCATCTATTCCACTGTTTATTCATTTGACAAATTGTTAATTAAACGTTATAAAATTCAGATTTTCGTCTCCAGTAGCTTTGTTGTGTCGAAGAGAAGTCTCTGCTCCAAGGATTCTACGAACTTCAAGAAAGACTGATAAGAGTTTTGGATTCAATTTTTCCCCGGAAAAAGGGGAATGGTGCCCCGTATATCTAAGAATATCTTAATTAATTAATAAATCAGTAAATATTCCCATATTTACAGAATTTATTGAAGAATCCAAAAGTAAGTTGAAGCTTACTAATTGTTCGCTCCTAATAACCCCAACATTTTATTGGTGCAGCCCGTGTGAGGCTTGGATACACAGAGATTTCTATCCGGCACAAACAAACAAATAAATCCAAAGAGCTTGAATTAAAAATAATCCGTTGTTCAGCCTTGAACCAGCAACAGAGTGGTGCTGATTTCGCTGAGCAGGAAGCTGCATCGAACTCTCACCAGTAACTCAGTGCTTCTTTAAAGGTGCAACGTGTAAATTAATTCTGGTTGACCTTTTAGGTTAAAAATTCAGTTTTTCCTTAAAGGTGCAACGTGTAATTAATTCTGGCTAACCTTTTAGGTTAAAATTCAGCTTTTCCTTAAAGGTGCAACGTGTAATTAATTCTGGCTAACCTTTTAGGTTAAAATTTAGTTCCTCATTAAAGGTGCAGCGTGTAAGTAATTCTGACTAACCCTTTTAGGCTAAAATTAACTGCTAATTTAGCGACTTTAACTCACAGTGGCTATTATAACTAACTGAAACCTTCACTCAAAGACTGATAACACCCTGTTTGCTAATATTCTGAAGGAATAACTAGCATATTTAACACTGCAAGTGTTGTAAGACGTTGCTACGGCAACGCACCAGCTTTTGCTAAAATACTGAAAGGAATAGTATTTTAAGCGTCAGTCACGGCATTCCGTGCAATCTTAAAACGCTAAAACCTGTGCGCACAAAGGTTAATTTAGTGTTTTTCTGCTACAAAGCTAGCAGTTGCTGCCCAAAAGGTGCAGCTTGAGCTATCTGCAGAAGCTCTACTAGGCTATTTTTGGTTCGGTTGTTAAAATGGAGGGACAGAGTAGTGAACTGACCAACTCCCAGCAACCAGGTGGCGCTGCGGCCCACGACTATGATCCTGGCCTACTTTCTGGACAAATATTGTCCAAACTGGTCGCGGTTGCTCGAGAACCCGACTACCCTTCTAGGGATTTCACTGAAGAACAGCGTAGCGTCGAGCTAGAAGCTGTAATCGATCAAATAGAAAACCCGGATGGTACAAAACCAATCCAGGTTCACTTAGCTAAGTTAGCCCTGATCCTCTATCAGAGAGGACTCCAACATGATAGAGAGATCATGAACCTCCAGAGTATGCTAGCTGAAAAACAGCGAAATGGAAGTCTGAAGGATGAGGAGGACGACGACACCCGCACCGATTCTGGGGAAGATGGGGAGAAGACCCCGCCCCCTTCTGCTGATGACAACAGACAGTGGGAAGGGGGGAAACACCAGGACTCTCTGGACGGACGCACGCCGCAGGGGAGAGATGAAGCTCATCTGTTCCAACCTTCGGCCCCGTTCCCTACACACACTATAGGGCATTCAGGACCATCTAGGGGCCGAGGGCAGTTCGCCCTCGAACCCCAGGTTGGACCACCACCCTCATCTTCACGGCCTTCTCAATCAGTGAGAAGTCGACCCGCTGAGCGGCACCTCTATTTAGACCGCTCCGCCAGTCCACGAAGGGTGCAAGGTGCCGGCTGGGGTTATGCACAAGCCCAAGCTGCACCTCAACCATCCACCCATCCTAGCTACTCCGGTATTCGGCATGCCGGTAACCAGCTGCATGACAGAGCATACTACGCAGACGTGCCCCGGGAGGAGGACCTCCCAAGACACCCACGTGACGTGCCAGCAGCCCACCACAACATGCCGGACCCCGATTTGGGCCCCAGG